CAAACTAAAAAAGTCCCCTTCCCCACCCGCTTCTATCCCCTCCCCCACTTCTGCTACCTGGTTCTTCCCCCCTGAGGCAGCTACTGCTAGCAGTTTCCTGTGTGGCCCTCCTGGGTCATGTGTACACATATAAACATGTATATCCACCCCTGGCTTCCCCTTTTTAAATTACAGGGTATTTTTTCAAATAACAGTATATCTTAGAGATCCCCTGTTACTGCACAGAGTTCTACCTTATTCTTTGAAATGGTGCATAACATTGCCTTTCATAGACATGGGACAATTTTTTAACAAGATGTCTCTTAGGAACGTTGCAAACCGACCATGTGCCCTTTGTCTCATTGTCACGAATTGTGTCCTCCTGAGAAAGGGGCACACAAACGTGGCCACAGACGACAGTCATCTTGTGCTTAAGCCCTTCTCCTAACAACTGACACTTACTGAACACTCTTTTTTCTGAGGTGAAATTCACGCAACATAAAATTCACCATTTTAACCATTGAAAGTGTACCGCTCAGTGGTTTTCAGTACATTGACAATGTCCTGCAGTCATCGTCACTAACTGAGGATATTTTCATCACCCCAAGAAGAAGCCCCATAGCTCGAAGCAGTTGTGCCCCATTCCCCCTCCCCAGGTTGGCCCTGACAGCCACCGGTCTACTTTCTGACTATGGACTTGCCTATTCTGGACATTTCATGTAAATACAATCATCCCCCTGGCTGGTGTGGCTCTGTGGATTGACCGCTGGCCTGTGAACCAAAGGGTCACCAGTTCGATTCCCTGTCAGGGCACATGCCTGGGCTGGGGGCCCAAGTCTCTGGTTGGGGGTATGAGGGAGGCAATCAGTTGTTGTTTCTCTTACACATTGATGTTTCTCACCCTTCTCCTTTCCTTCCCCTCTCTCTAAAAGTAAAATAAATAAAATCTTTATTATTTTTTAATTTTTAAAAAAGATTTTATTGATTTATTTTTAGACAGGGGAAGGGAGAGAGAAAGAGGGAGAGACACATCAATGTGCGGTTGCCTCTCACATGTCTCCTACTGGGAACCTGGCCCACAACCCAGGCATGTGCATCTTTAAAAAAAATAAATAGCCTCTCTCTCCTTCCTTTCTCCTCTGTCTAAAAATAAATCAATAAAATCTTTTTTAAAAATTCATAAGTCTGTGGACATTTGGGCATTTTCCATGCACAAACATTTTTATAAGAAATGTTTTATTTATCAAAAAAAATGAGAGAACAGAGGATCAAGTCAGAGAAACACACTCTGACTCACCTGGAAGAAGCGGCAGACGTTCATGCTCTGAACGGCGATGTGGCAAGGAATGTGGGTGGCCCCTGGGACCTGAGGGTAGCACCCTGTCAACAAGGAGCAGGAACCTTGGTCCTTCGGCCACAAGGAAGTGGATCCTGCCGACAGCCAGTTCTCTTGAGAGAAGACCCTGAGCCCCAGATGAGAACCACAGACCCAGCCAGCACTCCGATTTCAGCCCCTGAAACCCTAAGCTGAGAGTCCAGTCATGCTGTGTTAGACTTTTCACCCATAGAAACCGAGATCCTAAATGTGTGTTGTTTAAGCTGCTAACTCTGTGGTGAAAAAAGAAGAAGAAGAAATACAAGGGAGTCTGTGTGTGTAGAATAGAAGTAGTCATAAGAATCATTCATTTAAAATACAAATATATACATCCTACCAAATATAGGGCCTGGTACTTCATAATGTGGGAGAGGTAAAAAGGTTGTGCTTTTAAAAAAGATTCTATTTATTTTTAGAGAGGGGAAGGAAGGGAGGAAAAGAGGGAGAGAGACATTAATGTGTGGTTGCCTCTCATGCACCCCCTACTGGGGGCCTGACCTGCAACCCAGTCTTGTGCCCTGACTGGGAATGGCACTGGAGACCCTCTGGTTTACAGGCCTGTGCTCAATCCACTGAGCCAGATCAGCCAGGGAAAAATGTTGCATTTTAGCCTGAAGGGTTGAAACAGGGAGTTGAGAAGAAGCGTTGGTTTATGGTCAGAAGTTAGGTCCAAATTTCTCTGCCAGTCATCAGTTCTGTGTGACATGTGAGCTACTTATTTAAACCGAGCCTCAGTTTCTCATCTGTAAAGCCTGGACAGTAACAGACCCTTCCTCCTAAAGTGGTTGTGAGGATTCAGTGGTGCCTGGCCCAGGAAGAGCGTCACCAGCAGTGGAAGGCAGAGAAACGGCCCCCTACAAGCTGTCCACATCCTAATCCCCAGAACCTGTGAATTTGTCAGTTTACATGGCAAAAGGGACTTTGCGGATGTGATGAAGTTAAGGATCTTGAGATGGTGGGATTAAGCTGGATTATTTGGGGGAGGCAAGAACAATGTAATCATAAGGGTCCTTATGAGGGAGAGAGGGAGGCAGGAGGACCCAATTCGGAGGAGCGGTTGACCACGGAAGCAGAGGTTGGAGCGACGACCTTGCTGGCTTGGAGGCTGGGGGGAGGGGCTACAATCCAAGGGAGGCAGGTGGTTTTGGGGAGCATGGCAAGGAATCGGCTTCCCCCCTAGACTCTCCTGAAGGAACGCAACCTTGCTGAGACCGTGATTTTAGCTCAGACCAGATTTCACACTTCTGACCTCCAGATCTATGAGATGTGCTGTTTGTAGCTGCAACGTTCAGCAATTTGTTAGAGCAGCAGAAAGAAACTAATATACCAAGCACCTGGCCTGCCGAGACAATCCAAGAATGTCAGCCTTGATGGTTCCTTTGTGACAGTTGAGGAAACTGTGGCAAGAGACTCAACCAAAGCCACTTAGTCAGGGACAGTCGAGTGAGAATTACAATTCAGGGCATTTGCTTCTTTAGCAAATGGTCACTGGGGGCTTCCTGTCCATCTGTTCATTCATCCGTTAGGAATGTATTGAAGGCCTTTTGTGATGATGAGATCAGCTGACGTTTATGGAGCTTTGCTCTGTGGCAGGCACTCTTTGGGGGCTTCATGTGCGTTCCTTGTTTGAGTCTTCCCAACAGCTGTGTGTGGTAGAAGTTATTTCTGTCCCCATTTTATAGGTTAGGAAACTGAGGCCCAAAGGGTGCCATGAAACCATGTGCTCCAGGACCACACGGCAGTAAATAAGCAGAGCAGGGAAGGATCAGGTGCTCGCTGTTCTTGGCATTTGGGACACAGTGTAGGGAATGACTCATTGTCCCTGCCCTCTGGAGCTTAAAAGTCTGGTTGGGAGAGAGAGGCTAGGCAAATACAAATAAAACATATAACTATATAATATCCAGTGGTGATAATGGGGAAAAACAAAGCAGGCGTAGGAGTTAGAGAAGCCTGGCGGAGGTGAGGGAGGCCACTCTGCTTGGTCTGAAGAGGTGGCTTCTGAGCAGAGCCCTGCAGGAGGGAGGGAGCCAGCCAGGGAAGGTGTGGGGCACTAGTAGTCTGGGCAGGGGGAGGACAGGCGCAAAGGCCCTGAGGTGGGAAGGCGCCAGCCTGTCCTCAGGACAAAAGGAAGGCTGGCCTGGCTGGCAGAGAGCCATCCAGTGTGGCGGGAGGCTGAGAAGTCAGGCTGGCATTGTGCACCGGGACAGCAGCACAGGCAGGCAGGGTCGCCAGGAGGCCAGTGCGCCTCAGCCTATGGAGGGCCCTTCCCTCATCGCCACCCCTCCAGCACACCCACCTGATGGTGAAGGAACCCGGGGCTGTGCTGCCTCTAGCCAGGCTGCCTGGGCTCCTGTCCCAGCTCTGCCGTTCACCAGCTGTGTGATCTTAGGGAAGTTACATAACCACTTCCTGCTTTGTTTGCTCAAGTGTAAAATGGAGATAATAATAGCCCTGCCTTGCAAAGCCGTTGTGAGGAGAGAAGATGCATGCGTTATGTGTCTGGCACATTGTGGGTGCTTAGATGTCTGCTGCAGTGTTGTTATGGGTGTTATTTTATTGTCTGTGTCATCTCAGCTCCCTGCAGAAGGAGGGTTATTATGAGGACCCTCCCCTTGCACACGTGAGTTAGCTGCTTCCCAAAGAGGTTGTACATCACCCAGGGTTGCAGACTTGGAAATGGCAGGGCTGGATTTGAACCTAGGCTTGCCCCACCCCAAGTGTGGGCTCCTTCCTTCCATGTGGGGGTGCTTCCATATGTAGCTGTGTGTAGGTGGTGTCGGGGCGACTTCTTGACTGGGAGGTGGCAGAGCAGACTGGAGCATCAGATGACTCTGGTGGCCGGGGCAGTGTAGGGTGGTGGACTGGGGACATCTGAGGGTTGGAATAATAACCTGTCATTCTGGGATCCAAACTAGAAAGCAGGAGGCTTGCCTCAGCCATTCCCAACTGCATTCCCCTTTCTGCACCCCCCCACATGGCTTTCCATACCCTTAACTGTCAGAGGGGATGGCGGGTCTTCGAGGGAAGCCTTTCTGCAGGTAGCTCTTACCTGCTTTCAGCAGGTGACTACTAAACATTGACTATTAATGCCTCCTGACTGACCATGGTAGAGTGCCGATTACGTACCGGACACTGTGGCTGTAGTATTTATGTGCATAGATACAGTTATCACCCCCTTTTTCTGGTTGAGGAGACTGAGGCTCCAGGGTGTTAGAGGCTGTATAGCTAGTGTTTGGCAGAGCTGGGATTCACACCCAGGGAGCAGTGGTGAGAAAACCAGACCAGGGTCCTACTCTCAGAACAGGTCCCCAGAGTCTGGTGTGATTGGGGGTGGTTAACTCTGGTAAGTGTCCTATGAGTTACCTTGAGAGAGCTCCTTGGTAGCAGGTCCTATGTGTATTTGGCAGAGTTTTGAGGAGTCAGGAAAGTGGGTGTGGAGGTTTATGCATTCAGTGAATATTTTTTGAGTTCCTACTGCTGCATGTAGGGGAAAAGGTGGCACCACTCAGTACTGGCCACCCACTTGTCACAGAGTTGACATTGCAAAGAGATAGGGTGGCTCAGATGTGGGTCATCCCACTCCCAAGGTCCCACAGCGAGCCCAGGGCAGAGCGGGCACTGACAGTGGGCTTTCCCTCTCCCGCAGCTGGAGAAGGAGGAGCAGATACACAGCGTGGACATCGGAAATGACGGCTCAGCCTTCGTGGAGGTGCTGGTGGGCAGCTCAGCTGCAGGGACTGGGGAGCAAGACTATGAGGTAAGCAGGGCCTTGCAATGGGCCCCAGGCTGATCCTTGCCCCGATGCCCTATCACCGCTTCCCCTGGGGCCTCCTGGGCGCCAGACCGGGGCAGACATGCGTCATGCTCACTGTTGCCCTCTGGAGGAGCCCAGTGTAGAGAGACAGGTGATAAACTGTGTACAGCTGGAAGGAGACCCAGTTTGTATTGTGGTGGCATAAACAAACAGAGTCATGTGTTTTTTCTGAGATTCAGTCACTGCTGAAGAGCAAAACTACTTTATTCAGCTCCAGGGCTCTCATAGATGTCACTGCAAATTGAGATTTCACATTGTGTGGGATAAGCATCCAACACGATGTTAGTCACTTCATTTACAACAGATGTTTAGAGAAGGAATGCCTTTTGCTCTATTACAAATACTTTTAAATGTTGGCACAATCCTTTTTTTTTTAACTGGTTGAATTAATTAGAGCTGGATTGATGTTATCATAGTTAGACAGCTAGTTAATCAACAAAATGTTTTTGGGTAAAAATAGACCTACTGTGACAAAGAGAGTTTAATTATAAGTGAACAGACAAGCTTTCTACAAGATATTTTTTTTCTTGCAGTTAGAATTTTTTAAAAAAGATTTTTATTTATTTATATTTAGAGAAAGGGGAAGGGAGGGAGAGAGAAAGATCACTGTGTGGTTGCCTCTCACATGCTGCCTACTGGGGACCTGGCCTGCAACCCAGGCATGTGCCCTGACAGGGAATTGATCTGGCTACTCTCTGGTTTGCAGGCCGGCACTCAGTCCACTGAGCCACACCAGCCGGGGTAGAAATTGTTTTTAATTGAGGTATATTTTTCATACAATAAAATGCACAGATCTCACGCCCTGGCTGGTATGGCTCACTGGACTGAGTGCAGCCTGCAAACCAAAAAGTTACTCGTTCAATTCCCAGCCAGGGCACATGCCTGGGTTGCAGGCCAGGTCCCCAATAGGGGGCATGGGAGAGGCAACTGATCAATGTCTCTCTCCCTCTCTTTCTCCCTTCCTTCCCCTCTCTCTAAAAATAAGTGAATAAAATCTTTTAAAGAATGCACAAATCTTAATGCAGAAGTCAAAGAATCTGACAGATGTATGTATACACCTGTGCAGCTGTCCCCCAGATCAAGACACAGAGCACTGCCAGCCTCGCTGAAAGTTCCCTTGTGTTCCTTATCAGCCCTCCTTCCGCCCTCCCCTGGCAGCTCAGGCAACTCTGACTTCCTTCCTGCCACTGGAGATAGTTTTGCCTGTCCTAGAATTTGACGTAAATGGAATCTTACAGTATGTACTTTTATGTGAATTGTTCTGTTTTATTATTAGTTATTGTTAGTCTCTTACTTTGCCTAATTTACAAACTAAACTTTGTCACAGTTATGTATGCATAGGAAAAATAGTATATATAGGGTTTGGTGCCGTCCGAGGTTTCAGGCAGCCATTGGGGTCTTGAAATGTTCCCCCCTTAGATAAGGGGAACTACTATACATACTTACTTTATACGTATTCCTTACTTACCTGAAAGTAAGTTACATACGTGATGTCACTTTACCCCTTTATCATACTACCGTGGGTATTCCCTAAAAACAAAGATGTTTTCTTCATCTCAGTACAGTCATCAAGATTAGGAAATCATCATTGATACAGCATTCTACTGTCTGATGTTAGACCTTATGTGGATTTCTTTCGTTGTCCCAATGATGGTCTTTATAGTAAAAGAAAATTCAAAGTACAGCACAGGAAATACAGTCAGTGATAATGTAATAGCTGCATAGGTGCCAGCTGGATGCCGTGAATATCGGGGGGTCCCTTTGTAACATATATGATTGTCTAACCACTGTTCTGTACACCTGAAACTAATACACAGTAATATTGTATGTAAACTGAGGAACTGAAAAAGTTTTTAATTTTAAAAATAATAATAAAAGAAAAAAATCAGAATCACCCATTGACTCGTCACATCTCCTTTGTTCCCCTTCACTGGGAACAGTCCCCGCAACTGTCTTTGCATTTCGTGCCGTTGACACTTCTGAAGAGCGGAGGTCGGGGGGTTTTGTAGACATCACTCACTGTTCAGGACGTCTGTGTCTCCTCACGGTCAGGGTTAGGTCGCACCCTTGGGGCCAGGGTGCCATGGAGGGGATGCTGTGTTCTCAGCACATCGGGTGTGCAGCCCTGCTGCTGCTTCTTTGCAGGTGGTGTCAACTGATCACTCGGTTAAGGTTGTGTGGCCCAGGTTTCCCTGCTGTAAAATCCTTCTTTGTGGTTTGTAATGAATTAATAAGTGTCATGTGAAGAAATACTTTCAGACTATTTAAGTATCTTGTTACTCCTGAAATTGGACTCACTAGTTTTGGCATCTATTATTGATTCTTGCCTAAATTATTGATGCTATTTTTTTAAAGATTTTATTTATTTATTTTTAGAGGGGAAGGAAGGGAGGGAGAAAGAGAGGGAGAGAAACATTGATGTGTGAGAGATACTCCGCTGTCGGGGGACCCAGTCCACAACCCGGCAACCGGGGACCTGGACTCAGGTGTGTGCCCTGACCAGGAACCAAACCAGTGACCCTTTGGTCTGTAGGCCAGCACTCAGTTCCCTGAGCCACACCAGCCAGGGCTTATTGATGCTATTTTAATGATATTTAAGAATTTCCAATTGCTGATAGCATAATAAAAATACAGTTGATTTTTTTATATTGACCTTGTATGTTGTGATCTTGCTAAATTCACTATTAATTCTTATAGGGGAATCCCTTGGGATTTGTGTAGATCCCTGGATTTTCTATATACACAATCATACTGTACTGTCTGTGAATAAAAACAGCGTTTCCTCTTTCCACTCTTCATGCTTTCCCCCCTTTTTTCTCATTTTACCATACCGAACAGTGTCTCTAACACAGTGTAGAATGGAAGTGCTGAGAGTGGACATCCCGGTCTTGCTCCTGATCTGAGGGGTAAGGTGTTGAGTCCTCCACCACTAACTGTGATGGCAGCTGTGGGTCTGTGTGTGGCTGTCCTCTGTTAGGTTGAGGATGTTCTTTTCTAAACCTGCTTTGTTTAGAGGCTTTTTTCAGGAACGAGTGTTGAATGTTATCAAGTGCCTTTTTTTGTTCTACAAGGTAGATTTTGACAAATGATGTTTTCTATTAACAAACATTCATATTCACAAGATTATATGAGATGTCAGAAGGTAAACTGGGGCACTTTACATTTTGAAGACTTTATTTGAGCAAATGATTTAAATTGGGCAGAGGTTTTTTTTGCTTTTGTTTTTTTAAAAGATTTTATTTATTTATTCTTAGAGAGAGGTGAAGGGAAGGAGAAAGAGGAGGGAAACAACCCTGATTGGTGTATGTAGCTCAGCGGATTGAGCACGGGCTTGCGAACCAAAGGGTTGCTGGTTCGATTCCCAGTCAGGGCACATGCCTGCAACCCAGGGCAGGTCCCCAGTAGGGGGCATGCGAGAGGCAACCACAATTGATGTTTCTCTCCCTCTTTGCTTCCCTTGCCCTCTCAGTAAAAATAAATAAATAAAAAAGAAGGAAAAAAAACATTGATGTGAGAGATGTATCAATTGGTTCCTTCTCACATGCCCCCAAGGGGACCTGGTCTGCAACCCAGGTATGTGCCCTGAGTAGGAATCTAACTGGTGACCTTTTGGTTCACAGGCCGGCGCTTAATCCACTGGGCCACACCACACCACAACGGCCAGGGCTGTGGCAGATTCAGGTTCCTGGGGTCCGTGGCGTTATGGATGAGACGAGACAAATTCACACAGACTACCGAGTCCTGTGGAGGAAAAGGGGTGGCATGGCCACTCTCTCAAGGGGAGAGCACCTCAACCCTTGCCTTGACAAGCTTTTATTGGGTTCAGTTTGCACAGGAATACAGGGTGTATATGTAAAGCTCATTAATCATTGTCAGGCAGAAATGATTAAACAATAGATAACATTCAGAGAACTCTGAGGGCTTATTCTGAGTCAGGGTCAGATAGTTAAAGGGCCATAAAATTTTGGGAAACAAACTCACTTCCTGCTTGGACTCTTTTTATTTAAATTGAGGGTATTAGCAAAGTAGGTTTCATAGGATTTTATGCATTCTTTCTTAGGCCTGATTGCCCTAGGAAACCTGCCCTTTCCAGCACAGGGTTGCACTCAACACCAGCATTGTTTCAGGCTTAAGTCAGACAGGGGAAGTAAGGCAGCTGAGAGATTAAGAGACTTCTTGCAGACAGAATGAGGACTCAGGCTATGTCAAAGCTGAGGGGTGAGGGTCCATTACCCCCTTTTGTTATAGCCCCCCAAGTTCTTCCCAGAGGGCCCCTTTGCGACTATGCCTGTCTTAGGTCGTTCCTCTTGAGGATTCTTACTCGTCATTGGCTAACCAGTCATCTGCCTGGCACTAAGCAGGGTGAAGAGAAAGAAGGCAGAGGCCCATGCCCCTAAAGGAAGCTAAGCTTTGTCTCCTAAGTGGCTTATGGTCCCAAGGTCCTTTACTCAGCCTTAGCCTCGGGGGATTACAGCTTCTGAAACCAGGCAGGGCATGTTCCCAACACAGGGCAAAATTGATGTATTGTGTACACCAAGATTTTGTGTAGCCATTTTAATACTGAAGAGGGAAGAAAATACACAACATTTTCAGCATATAATGCTTTATTATTTCAAGGAAGGTTAAAAACACAAGGTGATACACAAAGTGATACACAAGGTGATACACAAAAAAAGATTTGCGCAGTGTATGGAGAGGGTGCTGTGACTGAATGTGTGAAAAGTGGTTTGTGAAGTTTTGTGCTGGAGGCTTCTGGAGGGACAATGCGCTGCAGTCCGGGAGACCACTAGAAGCTCAGAGCGATCAAATCGGGACATTAATTGAGAACAATCAACATTACACCATGAGGGAGATAGCCAACATACTCAGAATATCCAAATCAATAAGATTATTGATGAGCATGTAAAACGTGTCTTTTATTTTGCAGAAAAAAACTAAACAGACCTCTTGGCCAACCCAATAATACTGGCTACTACCCAGAGGCTAGGTAGGGCTGGAAAAGACAAGAAAAATAAGGGAAAAGGGCAGAGCATGCTTGTCAGAGTACATGTCACCTTTATAGTAAGTCCTCTCACCTCACACAGTCAGTAGGTTCTGGGACTTTAAGGGAAACAAAAGGACATTGTAACAAAGCCATTTTCACCCTAGGCTAATTGATGTCAACAAGAGTTGAGTCCTTGTGGCATTCCCTCAACATTACAATGAAACAATGTTATTTGAGGACCTGCTGTACAAACCAAGTGTGAACCACACGTTGTAGTAGGTAGTAGGTAATACAGTTTTCTACACAATCAACATGTTCTTTTCCCCCCTTCAGATTCTACTAAGGAGATTCACAAGCTTCTGAGGCTAACGCCTCTAGAGAGTAAAGGCTTAGTCCTGGAGCCTGAAGGACAGTGTTGGGGAAGACAGCGGTCTGGTGACTGGTTTTCTCTGTACAGGGAGTGGGAAGACAGTCTAGTCTGTTCAGAGGAAGTCGACCTCCTAGTGTGGGCAGCAGCCACCAGCCAGTTTGCATTGCCCCTTAATTTTAGTCTCTAGCTGATAAATTCAGCTTCTCTGTTAGCTGAAAATCAGGTTTTTTATAAACAATTAGAGCCAAGGCCAGGGAAAGGCTTCTCTTCTGTATAATTGTCTTTGTCGTTTCCTTTTCATAATCAGAGTTGGGCACAAAGAGACATATAATGGTAGTCTATATTTCTTCTCAGCAGAAGAGGCTTTTGGTTTTTAATTTCACAAACTCATACCTTGTCAGTTAGAAAGAGACTAAGTAACAGAATCTACCCAACTAAAAGTGGGTCACTGTATAAGACTGTTGTTTCCTAGGAGAGGAGCCTAGCATTAGGCAGATCCAGAGTTGATCTGGAAGCTTCACAAAGTCAGGGTGCTTGGTGGGCACCTCTTGGTTCTTTTGGACTTGCCCTCGCAGTCGCAGTATGGCTGCCGCTGCTCCTTCCATCACCCAGTGGCATCCAGAGCAGGAACTGGAGAAAGTGAAATGGCAGAAGTTCAGTGGTCCTCTTCCATCCTCTGTTTCTCTTTAGCGGGGACAGGAAATCTTTCTCAGAAATCCCCAGAAGCCTCCCTCTTTTTTTTTTATTTAAAGATTTTATTTATTTACTTTCAGAGAGAGTGGAAGGGAGGGAGAAAGAGAGGGGGAGAAATATCAGTGTGTGGTTGCCTCTCACGTGCTCCCTACTGGGATCTGGCCTGCTACCCAGGGATGTGCCCTGACTGGGAATCGAACTGGCGACCCTGTGGTTCACAGCCTGCACTCAATCCACTGAGCCACACCAGCCAGGAAAGCCTCCCTCTTAATATCATATGGGCCAGAACTGGGTCATGTGCACATTCTCGGACCAGCCAGCAACAGAGGGGATTGGATCACTTATTGTTGGGTGTGAACTCTGATTCTTTTTCAAAACTGCCTGGTCATTTTTTATTATTATTTGTTCCTTTATCATACTGTCCATTTCTTTCTTTAAACTATTGAAACTACTTCTCTATTGTGTGTTTGATATTTTCAGTATAGGCAGCCTTCGTGGGCCTTAGTCTGCGGTCTGTGGTTTCTGTGAACCTTGGGTCATGGCAGCCTGTTTCCTCTTGCCTCTCGGGGCGGGTGGGAGGGGGGGTGGTGGGAGCGGTGATGTCTGTGTATGTAATTGCTAACTTACATTCTTGGGGATGTATCTGTTGGAGCTCTTGGAGGACTGGGCTTGGAGTATGTTCTTCCAAAGAGGATTTGCCCTAGCATCAGTTGGCACTGTGTGCCTGGGACCACTTAAAATTTTCAGCCTGCCCTGGCTGGTGTGGCTCAGTGGATTGAGCTCCAGCCTGCAAACCAAAGGGTCACTGGTTCAATTCCTGGTCAGGGCACATGCCTGAATTGTGGGCCAGGTCCCCAGTAGGGGGGTGCACAAGAGGCAACCACACATTGATGTTTCTCTCCCTCTCTATCCCTACCCCTCTGTCTAAATATAAATAAATAAAATCTTTTTAAAAAAAGTTCAGCCCGTGTCTTTTCATGCAGATGCTAGTATGAGTTTTGCTCTAAATCCTTGAGAGTACAAACTCATGGTTAGGGGTTGTCCAGGAATAATTTGTCGTCTTTTCTCTGGTGTCCTCCAGAGTTGATGCCTCCCACTGTCTCTATAAGGCACATTGACCTCTGATTTACCCACAGAGGAGGGGCCTAGGTCTATGTGATTTGCTGATGACCTCCAGGATGCTGTTTTTCCTGCTTGGAGTTCTGCCGCCAACCCCTAGGGCCCTTTACAGTCAAGCTCTGTGTGCCACATGGCATCAGCGCCAGGACAGACACTACATCAGTGCTACCTGCTGTGTCAGTCAAGGTCCTGCCAGGAGACTGAACCACCCCTGTTATTTTAACAGAGAGCCCTGGCTGGTGTAGCTCAGTGGACTGAGCATGGGCCTGGGAATCAAACGGTCACTGGTTCTATTCCCAGTCAGGGCACATGCCTGGGTTGCAGGCCAGGTCCCCAGTGCGGGGTACATGAGAGGCAGCCACACACTGATGTTTCTCTCTCTCTCTCCTTTCCTTCCCCTCTCTCTAAAAATAAATACATAAAATATTTAAAAACAAAAACAGACTTAGTGACTGATGAGGCAAGAACACTAAATTATGGTGTGGCAGCAAGGGTGGGGAGCAGCTGCCACCCCTAGGGTTGGGGGAACAAAAGAAAAAGGTTGGAATGATGGAAACATAGATGCTTACAAGTTGGAGATAGGGTTCCATAGAGCTGAAACTCAGACCCTGAATGGGATGCCCACCAGCTGGTACCAGTGTCCCTGAGAAGGGCTGGATGAGGCTGGTTCTGGAGTGCTGAGAATCTGTGAACTGGATTCATCTGGTGCCCCAGGGAGGGGAGCCTGGCTGCTGAAGAAGCAGAGGTGTGCCTGGGGTGTTGCCCACGAGATCCCCAACAGGAGCTGATCTTGCCTCCTTCCTCCAGCTTTGCTGCCTCTCTCTAGCTCCTCCTGTTGGCAGAGCCCGATAAGGAGCAGCTGGAGAAGCAGAAACATCCAGGCCCAGCTGGGTGGGCTTGAGCTGTGAGAATTACATTAACTGGTGCAGCCCTCCACCTCTTTGGATTCTGCTCTCCCGTTTCTGGCCGATGAGAATTCCCCTCACCTTTCTGCTGACACAGCCGTGTGTTTGCAAAAGGTGTTTGAATACTGTGCCGGTCATTGTGAATCTTCTCTGCTGGGAGGGTTTGTTTCTCAGGCCTTGTGGCCCACCACATGGCCAGATATAGCAGGCTCTGTGCAAGAAGGATCATTCTGATCTGGACATAGGAGGATTCCTCTGGGGCCTGTGTCAGGGAAGGATGGACCGGGGCCCCGAGGCAAGAGGGGTCTACACACCATGAGGCAGGTCGATGTGCAAGCTGGGTCTGGCGACTCCTTAGCTTCTTCGCAGGCCCCCTGCCCTCTTCCCAGCCCCTAGGATGCGTCGTTTAAACCAGTCAGCCCTGGTCCTCATTCGTTGTGCCCTCTCCCAGGTCCTTCTGGTCACCTCGTCTTTCATGTCCCCTTCTGAGAGCCGCAGTGGCTCCAACCCCACCCGTGTTCGCTTTTTTGGGCCTGACAAGTTGGTCCGGGGAGCTGCCGAGAAGCGCTGGGACCGAGTCAAAATTGTTTGCAGCCAGCCCTATAGCAAGGTACCTAGGGTGGGAGCTGGGGTGCCGGGTGCTTTGTCCTGGGCCAGGAGGGAGCTCAGGGACCAGCACTGAGTCACAGGGCTGAGAGGAGTGGACAGCGGTTATCCCCTCGGGACAGTGAGGAGGCTGGGTCCCTGCTTTCCCTGAAGTGGGTTTGGGTTCCCCTCTAGCGAGGTTTTGCTTCCCAGAGGGTGTGGAGGGCTGGTGAGCTGCAGCAGCTCAGAGGGGAACTGGGGGGGTGGACAGCTGACTTGTTAGAGGGGTGGCCTAGGGGTAAACATCAAGAGAATGGAGTCAGACCCTGGGTGTGAGACCTGCTATACCCCTTCTTAGCTGTGTGACCTTGGGCCAGTGACTTACCCTTTCCAGCCTCGGTTTCTCGATCCTTGTAGGGTTGCTGTGAGTCAGGGTGCTAAGCTGGAGTAAGGAGACCCAGATGGTAATGACACCACACGGTGAGGGAATCCTTACCTGTGGAAGCGTCCTGGGGGGTGTTCGCCTGGTCATCCAGGGACCCAGGTTCCTTCCATCTTGTGGCTCTGCCTCCAGCTGGCAGAGGTGGCACAGCCCGGAGCATTTCTGTGTCCCCAAAGTGGCACCAGCACTGCCTCCCGTGCCCCCGGCGGTAATTCGGGTGTGCAGGAGAGGGTTTGCTCGGACACCTGGCAGCCTCTGTCAGTCTCTCTGAGGTTAAGGGGGCTAATGCACTTAAAGGCTTCGAGCTGTGCTGACCCAGAGCCGGGACTCCTTAGCAGCTAGAGGTTTTTGTTTTTGAAATTATCCTACAGGTACCTCGCTAGGTGAGGGAAAGAGCCAGAGAGGGGTTTCCTGGAGTTCAAGGGGTGTGGGGCCAGGCTTTGGTCCTTGGCTGGACTCCCCGACTCCCACCCCTTCTTTCCCAGGACTCCCCCTATGGCCTGAGTTTTGTACGGTTTCACAGCCCCCCAGACAAAGATGAGCCAGAGGCTTCCCCACAGGTAAGCTCTACCTGCTACTCCCTAGAGCCTTCTCCCTACCTCTTCACCCCCCCTGCCAACAGTCCACACCCATTGCACTGATCTTGCGGGACCCTAGAAGGTGACCAAGCTTGGCCAGTTCCGTGTGAAGGAGGAGGATGAGGGTGCCAGCTCCCTGAGACCAGGCGCCCTCTTCTTCAGCCGGATCAATAAGACCTCCACTGGTGAGTGTGGAAAACCCGAGTCCTGAGTGAGTACGGGCTGGGGGCCTGGCCTCCTGGGTCATGGGCAGGTCTGGGGAACGCCCCTCTGTGTCACATGGACAGGAGCTGAAGGTCTGAGGGCCCAGCCTGCTCATGCTGGTTCTACTTTCTCCCTCCGTAGCCACAGCCAGTGACCCAGCAGGACCCAGCTATGCGGCTGCCACACTGCAGGCCTCCAGCGCCGCCTCCTCGTCCTCTCTGGCCTCCAGGGCGGTAGGCAGCACCTCCAAGGTGAGAGGGGCAGCCCCTGGTGAGTGGAGAAGGAGGAGAGGAGCTAGAGGCCTCAATTCACCTCACCCCACAGCCTCAGGAGTCCCCCAAAGGGAAGAGGAAGTTGGATTTGAATCAAGAAGAAAGGAAGACCCCCAGCAAACCGACAGCCCAGCCCTCACCACCCACCCGCAAGAGACCCAAATGTGAGCAGATTGGGTTCCTTGTTCCCATGAGGGGCCTGTGCTCCTGTGTCGAGGGGTGGAGAGGACTGGGGGCTGGGACCCTGGACCTGAGGGGGGCAGGGGCTCAGGTTTTAGTCCCAGCAGTGCTAATGGAGCCTCCTCTTTGGCTTCCTCAGTGCCAGCACCCACCAGTACCCCAGCCACCGCCTCAGCCCCTGCCCCAGCTCGGGGGGCAGCGCCAGGGAAGCCCCGAGGAGAAGGCACCGAGCACAGGGGTCCCCGAGCTGGCCCGCAGGAGCTGGGGAAGATCCTTAAGGATGTGGTGGTAGTGCTGAGTGGCTTCCAGAACCCCTTCCGCTCAGAGCTCCGGGACAAAGCCTTAGAGCTGGGGGCCAAGTATCGGCCAGACTGGACTGCAGACAGCACCCACCTCATGTAGGCCTGCGACCTCCCCGCCCGCCTCCCTGCTCCCGCTCTCCGCCTCCCACCGCCTCCCTCTGCCTTCTCTGTCTTGCCTTCCCTCTCCCTGTCTGCTCATGTGTGTGTGTGTGTGTGTGTGTGTGTGTGTGTGTCGTCATCGCACTGTGTGCGAGCTCTGCCTTGTTTTCTCCCTGATTCATACGTCTCTCACTACGTTTCCCTGTGTCTCTCTCTGCTTCTCCCATGTCTGTCCCTTTTCCTTTCTTACTCACCCCTCCTTCTTTCTCTCTCTGTCCTCCTCGTCTCCCTCTGCCCCTTCACCCCTCAAATCCTACCTGACTGACCCGTCCATTCTGCTCCCCACAGCTGTGCCTTTGCCAACACCCCCAAGTACAGCCAGGTCCTAGGCCTCGGAGGTCGCATCGTGCGTAAGGAGTGGGTGCTGGACTGTCACCGCATGCGTCGGCGGCTGCCCTCCCGGAGGTGAGGCCTCACCGCACACTTGTGGTACACAAGTACACACACGTACACGCACCGACCCTGCTGCCATCCATGTGTTGGGCAGTGCTAGGGATCTGGAGAGAAATCAGACCGAGGGCTCCTAGTGGAGGATGTGGGCTGGGAGGGGAGACTGTCGGAGGCAGTGAGCACTCGCCTGGGGGTTCATGGAGGGCTCTGTGAAGTCTGCTTGCGGAGAAGGAAGAGAACAGCACAGGCTGGAGAAACAGCACGTGCAAAGGCTCGGGCAGGGGAACGGTGTGATGGGGCCTGTTTGGATTCATTTAAAGCAAGACCCCGAAGCCACTGCTTGGTGCCAGGCGGCCTGTGCAGTGGTGGGCGCCCAGACGTCAGGTCCTGCCTTCGACAAGACCTCTCACTTTGATGAGGGGCCAGGCTTGTTATGAAACAGAGGGAGGAAGCCCAAGGAGAGACCACAGTCAGTAGGGGTCTTCAAGGACTAGAAGAGCTTTACCAGGCTGACCAGAGGCTGAGAGCCCACTGGGCAGAGGAGCCAAAGCCGAGGTCAGCCTGATGTCTGGCCAGAGGAGCTACAGGTGGGCCTCAGCTTGCAGTCAGGCAGCAGGTCGTGGGAAAATGAGGCCGGGGCAGCGGGAGCCACAGAAGGCTGTGGAGCTGGGGAAGGACAGGGTCAGATCTGAGGCCTGCGGTCGGAAAGGGGCCTTGAGTTCTACTCTGAGGGAGAGAAGACAGGCCTGAGTGTGTTCAGAATCGGGGCCGTGCCTGGTGTATTTGAGAGACACCTTTGTCTGGGGAGAGGTGGAAGATGGGGAGCGGGTGGGCCAGCTCAGAAAGGGCTCCTGTGTCTGGCCGGGGGCTGGGCTCCTCCCAGCTCCACAGACCCCTCATCGGTGGTTCAGGAATCCAGATGCCTCTGGAACCAGAAGTGTTTTTCTAGATTTAGCACAAACCCACTTGGCTGCATGAGCATCCTGAGCTGATGTGAGGTTATTTATGAACTTTATTCTGTGAAGTGTGTCATCATGGTTATTAGAGAAATATTCATAGTTTCATTGACAAGGCACATCCTCCTCTGCGCCCCACCCCCTACCCGCCCCGGGAGTGATATGTAACAGTGTTCCTGGCATTTGTCTCTCTGAAATCTGAAAAATTCAAAATCCTGAAACCTGCCTTGGTCCCAGGGTGTCTCCTCTGTGAGCAGCAGGGAGCTGGGAGGCGTGAACGGGGGCGGGGTGTCACGGGGAGGCTGCAGGCGAGGGCCCTGGGGCGAGGGCCCTGGAGCGGCTGGGGCCTCGGGGGTAGAAACAGAGTGGGTCGGGGGTCTGCATTTGGACCCTGTCTGCCTGGGGGAGGTGAGAGTACTCGGAGGAGAAGGCAACAAAACAGTGTCAGATGTGCAACCGGGTTTTGACTGAAAGAAAAACAAACCTTTAGAAAGCACTTCGTGTTTCAAACAGCAGATGACAAAAGGGTGATTCCAGATGGATGGCTCTCCCCACAGTAATCACAGATTGAGTTTTCAAAATCTTTTAGCTCAAAGAAAAAATAGTAAATCTACCATTGGTGGTTTAATGAACTGTGACACTTTAAATTCTCCGAATTTCCCATGAGACACTGCTTTCTAGAGAGTGTTGTGACTTACCTAGTGGTGTCCACCTGCTTTGGAAAAACCCAGCTGTGTGCAGAAGGGTCTCTGTGCATCAGGAGCGCAAAGCCAACACGTTGATTTGCTTCTGCTGTGTCCTGTGTCCTGGGGTCGGGCCACGGCAGTGATCTCTCTGCTCCCTCATCCGGAGAATGGGGCTGAGAGACCGCCTGCCTCAGGGTGCAGTGCGTGCATCTGTCGGGTGCTGGGAGTGGGCCTGGCACACGGGAGTCCAGGTGAGTGTTTGCCGTCATTATTACCAGAACAGGAGGATTCTTCTGGAGTGTCAGCAGCTTAAGGATCCATAAATGTAGAGCCACGGTCTTAAAACAGCAAAATGTATTTGCTTTTGGGAATTTTCCCTTAATTGGTAGGCATTCTCCCAGTGAGAAACTGACTTTGGTTCTCAAAGGGGAAAATTATTTGTTTTTTAATGCTTTCAGCAATGGAGCATTTCTTCCCCAAGAGGGAGGGGCAGCCAGGGAGGGCCCAGGTCTCCCGTGTGGGCGGCTGGAGTGACTGGGGGTCAGCAGGGTCTTCCAGAGCTGGGAAGCAGAGCAGGCTGCAGGAGCGGCCATGGTCGTGACCCTGGGTATGTAGCAAGCGCCAGTGGCTGCTGCGTCCCGAGCACCCTCCCTGCAGGCCCTGGAGGACAAAATGTGCTGTTTGTCTGAGGCCCAGTTCCTCCCCCAGGTACCTCATGGCAGGGCCCGACTCCAGCAGTGAGGACGAGGGGGACCCTCACAGTGGCAGCAGCGGGGATGAAGCCCCCAAGCTTCCCCGAAAGGTCCGCTGTCCCCTGCTTGGGTGTGGGAGGGTGTATTGGGAGGAGGACGTGGGTCTGACATGGTCCCCAAAGTCTCCTGCCTCCTGTGGGCACACCTCCCCCCACACACTCCTGCCCACCCTGTCCCTTTCCTGCTCACTGACCCACCCTCTCTCCTCAGCGCCCCCAGACCAAAACCAAGCCCCCTCAGGCAGCAGGATCCAGCTCACCTCAGAGACCCCCAACCCCAGGAGAGGGCAAACCAACCTCTCCAGGATCCCAGGAAGATATCCACATTGAGGGGGAGTGCTCAGGTCGGAGCCTTAGGGGAGGAGGGGCTGGGGGTCTGTACTCCTGGTCTGAGGGAGGAGGGGTTGGGGGCCTGGACTCCTGGGTCTGAGGGAGGAGGGGCTGGGGGCCTGGACTCCTGGGTCTGAGGGAGGAGGGGCTGGGGGCCTGGACTCCTGGGTCTGAGGGAGGAGGGGCTGGGAGCCTGGACTCCCGGGTCTGAAGGAGGAGGGGCTGGGGGTCTGCACTCCTGGGTCTGAGGGAGGAGGGGCTGGGGGCCCCTGAGAAACTGGATCTGGAGGGGAATTGAAGTTGGCGTTTGGGATGCCTGTGTGAGGACTGGGAGGAGGGTTACCAGTCTTCCCAGAAGACACGGCAGACACCTGTGTTGACTGAGCTTCCACTCACAGAAGGACAGGACAATGGGGCAGAAGATTCTGGGGACACTGAGGATGAGCTGAGAAGGTAGCACTGGGGCTGGGGGCTCAGGGTGGGCCCAGCCTCGGGTGGGGGGACCTGGTCTGCATGCCCTCCCTCCACCCTCTCCGCTTCCCCAGGGTGGCTGAGCAGAAGGAACAAAAGCAGCCCCCGCACCAGGGGGAGAATGGCCAGGACCCGTACGCAGGATCCACAGATGAGAACACAGACAACGAGGGGCCCCCCGAGTCTCCCAGCCTGCCGGTTCCAGAACTCCCAGGTGGGAAACCTCTCCCTCCCTCCTGAGGGCGGATCTGTCCCTGTCAGTTCTCAGCTGTGACTCGGTCCAGCCAGCCTGAGATTGCTGCTTCCCACCCTGTGACTCACCTCCTGGTCACTTCCCTGCCACTGCCTGCATTTGCCACCTCTTTGTTCTCTCAGTCCTGTTCCTGTTCTTCCTGTTCCCTCTCTGTCCCCCTCCTGACTGGGCTGTGAACACCTCCTCACAATCCAGCGTCACCGTCCGCTGTGGCTCCACTGCAGGCGAGAACGGCCCTCCCTGCCGTCAGGGCTCAGCCCTCCCCAGGCTTCGGGAACCCCATGGGGGCCCTTTTCAGACCTGCAGATGCCCAGGGTCCTTCATTCGTGTGTTATGGGGGGAGAGCATACGGATGATTTCTGTGGCGGGGGGGGATCCGAGTGGTGGTGGTGGTAGTGGTGGTGTTTGTCGCCTCAGCCATGAATGCGGGGGTGGGATGGGGGCGAGCGTCAGAGCCCCTGCCGATGAGAACGGAGGGAGAAATGGAGGGAGACGCCTCTGAGGGCTCAGTGGGGGTGAGAGGCAGTGACCACTGGAGGAAGCCGTTTCTGCCTGTTTTTCCGTGGACACAGGCAGGAAAACAATTTGATCCTCCAAAGCCCCCAAAGTGGTGTCAGCGGATCAATGGCTTGGAAAGCCAGGTTAGAATGGACTGAGGAAAGAGCCTTGCTAGAGACCAGGGCCTGCCCCAAAGGGAGCGAGACAAAGCAGGCGGAGGAGTGGCTGGTGGGTGGGCTGGTTTTCCACCTGGCCAAGTTCATTAAGTGGCAACAGCTCACCTGTGACTTACCTCGTGTAGGAAACACATTAGAATCATTGGCACTGTGTCTTTTACCATTAAAGAAGGCAAGACTCCAAACTCAGGCTTCCCAGAAGGCTCTGCTGCTGGGCCTGGCCAGGACTGCTGCTGGTGGTCACTGTCCCGCGCTGGGCCTGAACGCTCCCCGTCCAGCCGCTGCCTGCTGGACGTCTTGCCTCTAACCGTTCTGTGGCTCCGGGCTGGTGCCTTGGCCTCCAGGGCCTCACCGTGGCTCTCCCCTCGTCTCCCAGACTTCTTCCAGGGCAAACACTTCTTCCTGTACGGGGAGTTCCCCGGGGACGAGCGGAGGAAGCTCAGCCGCTACGTCACAGCCTTCAATGGGTCAGTCTCTGGGTCCCGGGGGCAGGGGCGTGGCAGGCTGCGGAAGGAAGGCACATGGGGGGAAGGGGTGTGCCCTGCTGGAGGGCGCAGGCCCCGGAGTTCAGTGCCAGCACTGCCGCACAGCTTCCCCTGGCTTCACTCTAAAGTGAGGCTCCCCGCCACCCTCTGAAAGGGTTGGTGACAGTGTGAGCTGCTGGTATGGTGGCCGTGGCAAGACTGGCATGTGGGAGAATGGGGGGTCCACAGGCAACCTCTCAGGGACATGGGTGGGGATAGGAGAGGACGGCCTTTGAGAACGGCTGGGGAGTCAGATGTCAACAGAGGGGACGCTGATTCTTGGCTCCTTCTCTTCTCCCGCCAGGGAGCTCGAGGACTACATGAGCGACCGGGTCCAGTTTGTGATCACGGCACAGGAGTGGGACCCCAGCTTTGAGGAGGTGGGTCCTCAGGGGCAGGGAAAGGGAGACCCAGCTGCCCTCGAAGCCCCTGCGTCTCCTCTCACATGGGCCCCCGGCCCCCTGCAGGCCCTGATGGACAACCCCTCCCTGGTGTTCGTGCGCCCGCGATGGATCTACAGTTGCAATGAGAAGCAGAAGCTGCTTCCTCACCAGCTCTACGGTGTGGTGCCCCAGGCCTGAAGTGTGTGCCCGTGCACACGCATGTGCGTGCACACACAGCTAGGTTTAATAAAGCTGATAGGTTTGGAGCCACTGCCTGTCTCTCTCAGGAGTCTCCCAGAACACCAAGACACTCCTGGCTGTTTCCCAGCTGTCTGCCTTATCTTTGGGTTTTGTTTCCCCTCTGAGGGCCAGGTCTCTGACTGCCCGAGACTTGTCCTGGGGTCCTGGAGAGAATGCAGGGCTCTCTGTCAGGGCTCTGGTAGAGAAGAGCCCTGGTAGGGAAGGAACTGTTAGTCACTTCTCCCTGGCCCCTTGGCCCTGTGGTGGCAGGTGCCAGGAAGTTGGGAATCTCACACCCTCTGAGCCTGTCCCTGGGTCTAAGCAGTCCCTCTGTGGGTCCTGGGCAGGACGTCCGGCTGCTCATGAGGCGTGCCTCTCGAATTGTCAGCTCCCTTGGCCACAGACGTGTCTTTCTGCAGGACTCCCAGAGCCCCTCTGACTGGCACCAGCATGGTTGTGCATCATTGCTGGTTGAGGGGGAGGGGCTCATTTTAATCAGCCTGCCAAATCCTGGGCCCCTTCAAGGCTCCAGCACATTTAAGGCAGGAGCTGAGCCCAGTGTCAGAGAATCAGGGCAGAGGGTGGGCTGGCGTTCTAGACAGGGGCCATGGCGTGGCCAAAGGCCCGGACGTGACAGCTAGCCTGGTGTCTGGGCAGAGCTGAAGGAGCACTGCCACCTTCGGTGAAGAGGCTTTAGGAGCAGATCTGACCGGAAAGTGGGCACAGTCCTTGCAGCTGTACTGTCCAGTGCATTAGCCAATGGAGGGGGGGTGCTATTTAAACTACCATGAAATGAGAGGGAAAGCTCACTTCCTCAGTCACACTGGTGCCATTTCAATGCTCAGCGGCCACCGCACTGGACAGCGGTGATGGAATATTTCCATCACCATGGGAAGCAAAAGGACAGGGCTGTCAGCACCCGGCAGAGAACCTTGGACTTGCCCTGGGGGACTGGGGGCTGGGGGGCCCGGAAGGCCCACAGGGCTGGGGTCTCTGGGTTTGAGATCTGCCCTTTGGGTCATCTTTTCTTGGACATTCCAAGCCCTCTCTTGACCTCTGTTTCTTTGTGAGAAGAAGGTGGTGGTAAATTCTGCATCTACTCATTCATTTCTCATTCATTCACACACGCACTGATCACTCAATTACTTCCTACTGTTGCTATGACAAATTACCACAAACTTAATGTCTTAAAACAACAGAAGTTTGTAATTTCCTAGGTCTGAAGTCTCACTGGGCTCAAAAACCACGGGGTAGGCTGGCCTTCCTTCCTTCCGGAGGCCCTGGGGGAGGGTCTGCTTTCGGCAGCAGCCCACATCCCCTTCCCCTCCACAGTCAAAGGCAGCAGAGGCCAGGGGAGCCTGTTCCATGCCTCATCATGCTGACCCTGACTCCTGTCTTTCTCGTTCCATTTGAAGTTTGTGATTATATGGAGCCTGCGTGAATAATCTGGGGTAATATCCATTTTAAGGTCAACCAATTAACCTTAATTCCTTCTGCTATTTTAACTGTCCTTTGCTACATACCATATTCTCAGGTTCCAGGGATTAGGGTGTGGATATCTCTGGGAGGCCATTGTTCTGCCTACCACACCTACCGTGAGAGAGACCCTGGGGCTTCAGTGTGAGAAAAACACACAAGGCCTCACTGTCCCGGGGCTGACGATCTGGGGGCGGGGGCGGGGGGGAGATGGTGAGTGTGTGCTATGATACTGGGCAGTGATAAACGCCAGAGCCGACAGAGGAGGGCAGTGTTACCCAGTGATGGGAGCCATAGGGCAAGGCGGGGGTGTTTCCCTAGAGTCACAGGACTTCCCCCTCTGCAGAGACTTGGGAAGCCCAGGCCTGGGAGAAGCAAGGGCAAAGGCCTTCAGGCAGGACCTGTGTGAGGAACAGCAGGGCCTGACAGCACTTCCCCATTGGTTGCAGGCCAGTCCCATCCTGTGGCCTCTTTCCCCACCTGTACATGGTGTGTTTAGACTGGATCATGTGAGTCTGTGCCCTTGAAACTTGCATGGCGGTGTGGTTGTCTTGGAGGAGCTCTTTCTGGACAGCTCTGGAGGTGCACATGGACATGAATCAAGCTGTCTGGTTTGGGGGAGGAGCCTGAATCCCTACCGGCCCCCAGCCCTCCCTCCAGGCTTTGCGGAGTGGCCTGCAGTCCTGCAACCTGCTCATTTCTTTACTCCTCCGTCCCACCCCTTTGCCTGGGGACTCCACAAACCATGTCGCAGTCCATCCTCCAGACAGTTGAGGTCTCAGCTCATACACTGCTTGCTCAAGAAAGCCTTCCCTAACTGCCATATAACCATATACAATACACGCTGTGTCATATTTCTAATGGATTTGTTTATGGTCAAACTTCTCAGTTTTTTTATAATTTGCTTTTTTTGTGCCTTAAAGGTACTTTCTCTACCTCTGAGGTTACTAAGATACTCTCCTCTATTCCCATCTAAACAGATGTAAATTTAGATGTATCCATCTTAGTTTTGTGCTTCACATTTAGATTTGAACTCTCCAGGAACTAACTTTTGTGTGTGGTGTGAGGTAGGGATCTGCGTTAGTTTTCTGTTGCTGCTGTAATAAATCGCCAGAAGCTTTGTGGCTTTAAACAGTACACATTTATTTCTTTACAGTTCTGGAGGTCGGCAGTCCAAAGTCAGTCTCTGGGCTAAAGTCAAGGTGGCGGCAGGCCGGGGTTCCTTCTAGAGGCTCTAAGGGAGAATCGTTTTCTTGACTTTTTTAGCCTCTAGAAGCTGCTGAATCCCATAATTCCTTGGCTCGTGGCCCCACATCACTCCAGTCTCCACTTCCATGATACATCTTCTGACCCATTTTTTCCCTTTCCCATCTGAGGGATTCTGTGGTTACACTGGGCCCACTGGAGTAATCAGGATAATCTTCCCACCTCAAAATTCTTAATCACATCTGCGAAGTCCATTCTGCCATGTGTAAGCTAACACACAGATTCTGGGGATTAGGATGAGGACAATTTAGGGGGACCATTCTGCCCACCACAGGGTCCCACTTCATTTTTTCCCATCTCAGCTCACAGATTAGTCTGTCCTTTCTCCACTCATCTACAATGGGGGTTGGCAAGCTGTAGCCCATGGGGAAAATCTAGCCCACCTGCTATTTTTGTAAATAAAGTTTTATTGGAACCCAGCCACGAATTCACTAATGTATCATGTGTGGCTACTTTTACGCTGTGGTTGTGGCAGACACTGTATAGCCTGCAAAACCTAAGAATACATACTATCTGGCCCTTTCCAGAAAGTTTGCCAACCCTGGTCTACAGGGGGTGGGGTTGTCACATGTCAGGACCAAGGGTCACCTACTTGTTATTCAAAATGGACTTGGCCTCTTCCCTCCCCCCTGCCCCCACCACTACTTGGTTACTGCCCACTTCCTTCACTAGACCAGGTCTGCCATGTTTCCTGCTGTGTTCTCAACACCTTGTGCAGGTCCTAGCGCATTAGGTGCTCATGTGTAGAACAAAGAGCAGTCCAATGTTAGCTTGATCGTCTGATTTTAGAGTGGGAGAACCTAGCCCCAAGGAGGACACTGACCTTGCCTGAGATGGTGATGCTTGCACCCCGACACGGGCCTTGTTACAGGTAACGCTTCCGTTTCACAGATACGGCTTCTGAGTCCAGAGACGAGACAAAGGTTGTCCAGGGCCCCTGGGCTGTACCTAGTGGGTCAGGCTGGCTCCAAAGTTTGGGCTTTACTTATGTTTTTATACTCTCAGTAATATAACCCTTGTTCTTGATTTTTATCATTTATGTTAGGAATCTTTCCATGCTCGTACCTGTAGGGCTGACTTTTTTTCCTACAGCTACACCTTCCATTCTGCGGTGGTGCTGTCATTTACTAGCTGGTCTGGTGACGAACACTCAGGTTCTCCCCCCCTTTGGGCACAGCCACTGCGATGCAGTGAACGTCCTTGCCCTCGTGCCTTGCTCATGCACTTGCATTTATACGATAAATTCCTAGAAGTGGAATAGTTGACACGAGCATGTGTGTGTTTCAGTATTTTACAGATACAAACGGCCAACATAGAGGCGCCAGTTAACTTAAGGACAGAGCCTGTTTCCCCGAACTCCTCACCAACCCACCATGCGAGCAGACTTCCTACCTTAGCCAAATCAATAGTCGGGAACAACCAGAACCAATTTGTTCACACCACAGCTCCAGGGCCACGCTGGGGCGGATTAGCTCCCAGTGGGTGACACCTTCCCTTCCCCCAAACGGGTGAGCAAAGTGTTTCTTTGCCCTTTAAGTCAGCGCAGTGTGAGGCGCCAACCTCGCGGTCAACTAGAAGAGGCAAGTCTGTGCCGCCCGGTTTAGAACCACCTCTTTATTTCCTCGGGCCACCGGCAGAGGGGGCCAGTGAGCCCAGGGGGGCTCACTCCCGCTCCCCCTGACTCTCGGCCGGGTGGTGGCTGCGTTGGTGAAGGAGCAGGAGGCGTCTCTGACCAAAGGCCTGGCCACAGCTGGAGCAGTGGTGCCGGGCGGTGGCCTGGCCACCCGGCGCGGTGGGGGGGTCGTGACATAGGCGATGGGCGGCCAGTTTGGAGGGGAATGAAAAAGCCTTGGGACAGTGTGGGCAAGGATAGGGGCGGGCGTCCGTGGCATGGTGTGTGTGTCGGTGGGCAGCTAGTTTGGAGGGGTAGCAGAAGGACTTGGAGCAGTCAGGGCACGGGTAGGGGCGGGTGGGCGCATGGGTCCAGAGGTGGGCTGCTAGCTTGGATCGGTGGCCAAAGGCCTTTGGGCAGTGAGGGCACGGGTGTGGGCGGGCGCCGCTGTGCGTGAGGCGGTGGGCTGCCAGCTTGGAGGGGTAGGAGAAGGCCTTGGGACAGTCGGGGCACGGGTGAGGGCGGGCGCCTCCGTGTGCCAACCGGTGCGTGGCCAGCTTGGACGGGTAGGAGAAGGCCTTGTCACAGTCGGGGCAGCGGTGCGGGCGCTGGGGCGGGGGCCGCCTGCGGGGTCGAGTCGGCGCCCCCGAGGATGCAGCAGGCCCTGTAGCCGACTTGTGGGGCTTCTTGGACGAACCCTGGTGGGGAGCTAGGGGACAGTAGGGCTGATGGGCTCCTGGCAGCAGACAACTCCCTAAGTCTAGGCTAGGGTTCCCCCACCCCAGCCCACTTTGATATTCGAGTGTATCTGGGCACTCAAGTGTCATACTGAGATTCCTCAACTGTCATGTTCCTGCTCTCGACCCCTGTCATCTATCATCCTAAGGGATGCCAAAGCATTACCTACCTGTATCCCCAAAGCTAAGGCTTTTCCAAAGCTACTTAGGTGTCTGCTTCTCTATCTTCCCAAGTGATCACCCTGAAATTCTGCATGTTATGTTCCTTGTCCCTCCTGTAATTCCCTGGGCCCTAGAAATGGTCACGAGGGTCCCCCTAAGCCAACCAGGAGGATGCCCAGAACGTCACATTTTGGGGATCCCAAATTGTCATCACCCTGGGCCCTCAAATTTTCACCCTGAGACATCCTCAAAATGCGATTCTCTTAGCCCAGCTCCTAGAGAATGTCCCCCACCCACACAGCCGTGGCCGTTCTCACCTCCTTTGGTCACTAGTCCCTTGCCGGCAGGACTAGGATCGGTGGCTGCAGTGGCGGGCTCGGCTTCTCGTTCCAGCATCTTGCTGGCCCAGAGACCTAAAGGAGGACCTGGGGGCGGGGGCAGGGAGGAGCGTCACTGGTGATTATCAGGCTAATGAGGATAGGGCTGCAGGGCCTAAAATCAGGGGTTAGTCTGTTTAGGGGTCTGTTTAAGTCTGGGACCCTAAATTGGAGGTGGGAGTTGCAGGAAGGCGGAGCCTAAGAGCACCGTGGGCGGGCCTATGCAAATCCCACGCAGATACATTCCCTTTGCCACTTAGACCCAGGGTTGGAACCTCGGAACCGAGTACTACCTAGGCCTCTACTACTCACACTCAGCAACGATCCTGGGCGTGGAGAGGGCGGAGCCTATGCCCACAGTGGGCGGAACCTCCCCACCAGAACCTCCCAGGGAGAGGTACTTATGACCGGAATGGCCGGAGCTACACTAGTAGGACCCCAAGTCGCCTGCTCTGAAGCTCAGACCCAGAGAAAGGGCGAAAGAACTCAGTAGGCGGGTCTTCTGCGACTTTCCCAGGGCAGGGGCCCCAGAGCTCAGTGAGTGGAATTTCACGTCGAAGAGAAAGCTTTACCTCGGTTTAGTCTCAATCCATTGACGCCTGGACCGCTAAATTTCTTCCTTGCTGAGGAATTGCATCCCCGGCATGGAGTTGGGGCCGTGGAGGGTAGAGGAAAGACCTGGAGGAAGATACAGAAAGAACGTGGCGTGTGTTGTGATCCAGAGTCTTAATGGACCTCTCACTCCAGATCTCAAGCGTCTGGGCCTCAATGCACCCCAAGGGATCATGGCATTCGGGCACCAGTGCACCCTCCCAAGGCTCAGACATCTATGCAGTCCCTCCGGAACCTATGCATCAGCATCCTAAACGATCCCACTCCGGGAGATCCTAGCATTCTGCCCCTAATCCCTGTCCAGGAGACCGAGGTGTCTGGATCGGGGCGCCAGCATTCTCACCTGCGGACCGCCCCTCCCTGGGGGCGGGGCTCTGGGCTCCTCCCGCGGTGGCCTCTGTCGCAGCCGCGCTGCCCGCGCTGCCCTTCCACACGGAGTTGTTGCAAGCCGCGTACCCAGCGACCACAGGGGAGGGCGGGGAGTGCTCGCGAGCGGCTGGGCCCAGTCTCATTTCCACTCCCTCCTCCCACGTTGTGCCAGTGGGGGCGTCAGTACGCATGCGCAATCGCAGTCCGAGGAGGCAGTGGCTGCCGAGACAGAATGGATGGAAAGAGTGGGTGTGAAAGGCTGGCAAGTCGGTGAGCGAGCGCAGAGCCGCGGGCGGAAGGACCGTAGGCAATAGGAAAGTGTAGAGAGGTTTGCAGGACCTACGGTGGCTGACAGGAGTCAAGAACGTGCAGGAGTTAACATGGAGAGCTGCGTGTACACCTCATTGAGACAGCTCCCAGCACTGGCACCTTCCCTTTTCTGTGTCCTACTTCCTTTCAAGCATTCCGCTGGGAGCCTGAATTCCGTCTCCGGAGGCATTTCAAGAGCCGGTTGCCCCATCCACCCTTCACTGCGTTTCTAATTCCTGGAGAGAGGGCGGGGCGGGGTGGGCTCGGGGCGGAGCTGATGCCCAATAAAAAGCACATTATTTGCATAGCTCCCTGGCACCCTTCGTCATTGGGTTATTCCAGATTCTTTGCCCCTCTCACCCCAATGGCATGACCCAGGGGAGCGGGGATGAGGGAGGGGTTCTCGAGGTACCCTGGCTGATAGGTGTTCCCAGAGGGCCTGAAACTCCTGATGCCACTCCTGGGGTGGCATGCTTTGCATCCTTCCCCGAGCCGTAATAGTGCACCTTTCCGCCGAGCACAGGAATGACCATGAAGTGCCCATAAAAATACCCCGCATGAGTGGTTCTTCAGCCTGATAACCCACAACGTCTGGCGAGCTGTGGGAGTTACCCCAGGGGTTATTTGGGCTCTAGAGACAGATTACCTGGGTAACTCGTTTGGAATCTTGGCTCTGTAACTTTCAAGCTGTGTGACCTTGGGCAAGGACCTAATTTTTCTAGGCCTCAGTTTCCTCATATATGCAATCAAGCATTATTAGTATTAAATTCGGTAATAAATGGAAAGTGTTTATAACAGTGCGCACAGTGCCAATAAGTGTTACCAATATTCTTGTTCTTATTGTGCATTAAAATAGACCATGACAGGGTCCAGGTTGTCTCAGGAACAGCAAGTGAACAGACCTCAAGGTGGGAAGGAGCGGTCTGTGTCCCGAGGATCTCTTTTACCCTGTCCTGCCTTGCTTCAGACTCACTGACCTTCCAGTTCTTGTACGTGCTGTGGTCAGTCCTACCTCAGGGCCTTTGCACCAACTGTGCCCTCGGTCCCCAAGGCCCTTCCTCCATCACTTTGCTTGCTGATTCCCCAGTCAGATCTCAGTTCAAATATTACCACTGCAGAAGTTCTCCCCTGCCCACCCTATCTCAGGGAGCCCCTTCCCTCCATCACTCTGCTGTCTCATTCCCTTTGTATGCCCTTAGCATTGTATACCTGTCTTCTACAATGTGTGCTCTGTTAAGATGGACAATATGGACAACTTGTTTATCTCGTTCATTTCTCTGTCCCCTGCATCCAGAACAGGGCTTAGCTACATATGTGGTGTTCAAAAAAAATTATGTCAAGCGAATGCTTGAAAGAATTAACAGCCAGAAGCCCTCTCTAATGAGAAGGTAGATGATGGGGAAAATGAAGAACAGGAAGTCAAGGAGTTGGCAACAGGCCTAAGCTGAACAGGAAGCCAAGCGAGGGTTTTAAATACATGAAGTGACATGAACTAGTTTAGATTTTTATCCACTTTATTCTTTAACCATATTTCTAGGTCATGGAAAATTCTCCAACATACACAAAAGGAGGAGGGGAGGAGTGTAACTAACCCCCATATACCCATCACCCAGGTTCCACAGAGCCAGTTTTATTTCATTGTCCCCTCAGTGACCCTCCTTGAGCTCACTGAACTACCGGTATTTTAAAGCAAATTCCATTCCAGGTACGTCTCCCAGAAATGCTTCAGTCTGTGTCTCTAAAAAAATAAGAACCTTCACCCTGGCCAGGTAGCTCAGTTGGTTAAGAGCATTGTATGGATCTGCCAAGGTTGCAGGCTCAATCCCGTGGTTACGGCACATACAAGAAACAACTAATGAAAGCATACATAAGTGGAAAACATCCATATTTCTCTCTCTCTCTCTAAAATCAATAAATTAAAAAAATTTAAATAAGAACTCTCTTTTAAACATAGCCACAATATTGTTGATGGGAGAAACCTGGTTCTTCTTGCCGACGCTGTAAAGAATTACATATCAGCAAATTTGTTAGTGTGCAAGCAGGGTTTATTGGTGATATGTTCTCAAGGAAGAGAGCGGGCCTTGTCCAGGTTGGGGCGGGGGAGGCATAGGTCCAAGGCAAAGCAGGGTAAGGGCGGCAAAAGTAAGGTCAGCCAAAGGGCCAGGGTGGCAAGCGCCCCCAGTCCTTTGTTCTGAGGACTTACATAGGTGGTGGAATGGGGTGAAGAAATTACATATTGACAGGTAAAGGTGGTGGCAGTGTTCCTGGAGGGGTGGGCAGGGGGGATGTGACTACCCAAACTTAGGTTTGTGTGGGGGTCTGGTAACCCGAATCCTTATCTTGTTCCAGACTCCATTTGTTCATCTTGTTGTAAAACAGATACATGACAGGAGGCAGTTAATTAAAGTTGGTGTAGTTACCCAAAGTTATTTATGGGCTCTTTCTGTAAGCATTAGGGACTCCATCCTAAAACAAATAGTGTCCAGAGGTAAGCAATTAGCCAAAGTTGTTTCATGGGCTTCTTTGGGTACTAGGGACCCTCTCCCGCCTTTCAGGCCTTATAATGAAAGCTTAGTTTCAAGGCTTTTTTCCCAGAGAGTGGAAATGCTACATAGAATTTCAATGACTTTGATAGTTAGTTTCAAAAACTAACATAGTGTTTCTTGTGATGTTGGAACACCTGGCATTATTATTGGAACAGGCTCAGGACTGCTGAGTTAGTGGGTGAGACATGTCTCCCTCCTCCTCCCTTCCTTGGTTTGCTATTCATTCTACCTAAGTGCTAAGAGGCGTTTCCTGGCAACCAGGATGCTAGACACCTGCCAGTAACAGCAGCACAGTCTCAGAGTTCTTCCTATGCTGTCTTCTGCCTCAGTATAGTTACCACGCCTTCCAAAATTCAGAGTTGTTTCTATGTTATCACAGCCCACAGTGTTCAAACTTCCCCCATGGTCTTGAACAATGTGAGTTTGAACTGAGCGGGTCAATTTTTTAAAAATCCACATGTAAGTGGACTCCACAATTCAAATCCCTGTTGCTCACAGGTCAGTTGTGTATCTCATTTTTTCCTTTTCCAATGTTATACTTTCTTTCAAAGATTCAGAGCATTTGAGAGAATAAAGAACTGTTCTCTGCATTAGTAACAGAATTGGCCAAGGTCAACAATTATCCAGTCATGACCAGTGTCATTTTATTCTCATCCTGCCCCCAAATAATTTTAAAGTGATATGCCAGACATCATAACCCATAAATATCTTGTTGTTACACTTCCTTTTTTTGAGGGTTGCTGCATGGAAAATGGATTGCAGGGAGGCAGAGTGGAAGCCAGAATCCAGTGAGGCGGCTGTTACATATTAGTTATAATATAAACTATCAGCATTTAGTTAGCTTTATGTATACCAGAAACCATTCCGAGTGGTTTATATGCATTCATTCATTTAATCCTACAGTGACTTTTTAAGAGGAGGCACTACTATTATCCTCATTGTACAGACAAGGAGAATGAGGCACAGAGGGGGGAGTTTGCTTATCCAAGGTCCCACGAGGCCAGGTGTTGAACCCCTGCACCCTGGCCCTGGAATTCAGGTAATTTGCATGTTCCTTTGCTGCTTGTTGATTGGACCAGAGGATATGATGCTGGGAAAGTAGCCTGATTGGGAGGTTCACTCTATAGGGCCTACAGTGATGAATTGGGAGGTGGTGGCAAGATGAGGAAGGAGTGAAGGGTGGAGATGAAATAATGATAGCCAGCTCCCACTGAGCGCTTGTCCTATGCCAGGTGCTGTCCCAAACTCTTTACATGGGTAAACTCACTGAATCTTCACATTGAGGAAGGAATGATTTCCAACCCCATTTTACAGAGGAGAAAACTGAAGCCCAGAAGAAGGTGAGGTTTGAGCCCGAGATTACACAGGTAGGAAGAATGATGCCAACCTTTCTAACTGAGAACACTTCACTGCTAACCCTATGAAAACCCCAAAGAGGGTGCACACCTTCAAGGAACAGGTTAACCATCTAACAATTTTGTAAAAACATCAGGAATGGGCACCTCAGGGGTGAGGAGGTCTTATTTGCAGGGCCTCTGAGCTCCTGGAAGTCGCTGTACCTCCCCTTGTTTTAGCCTGATGTCTGTACCTCCCTCCCCATCCAGACTGAGGACTCACCTCTGAATCACTAGCTTCACCCAGCTTGGGCCAGGCATGTGGGAAACCTCAAGGCAGGGGAATAAAAATGAACAAAGTTCTCTCCTTGACTTTGAGCTTTTTTGTAAGCCTCACTTGAGGATGTTTATTGGTTTTTTGGAGACAGAGAGAGGAGGGTAGGGAGGGGGAGAGAGAGAGAGAGAGGAGAGAAACTTCAATTGGTTGCCTTTGCATTGGAGGCCAACAGGGGTTGGGGATGGAACCGTAAGCCGGATATGTGCATATGTGCCCAGGCAGGGAATTGAACCCGCGACCTTTCCATCTACTGGGGGACGCGCCAACCAACGGAGCCACACCGTCTGCGGTGCAAAATTATGTTTTGAAAATGCTCTTCCTGGAAAGGAATAAACATTCTTGAAAAAATACTTATGCAATTTTAAAATAAATGTTAATGGCATCAAGTGTTGTTCTGGGAGCCATGCACCCACCATTTCTGAAGTGACCTGGAACCAGACTTCTTTTTTTGTCTGACAGTGAGAAGCCAACCTCACTCTGACCTCACTCTTTTCCTACAGAATGGCCCTGGGGCTGTGAGTGTATTGGGGCCTCTTGTTGGGTTTTTACCTCTCTCCCTACCTGTGCCCCCGGCGTCTCTCCATTGCCTTTCAATGTCTCCCTGTTCCATTCTCACGGTCTTCTGGGTCTCTGATATCTCCTCACGGCCCCCAGCCCAGCTGTACGGGTCGCGCTCTGGATGCACGGCCAGCGTGCCCGCGGCCCCTTTAAGGCGGGCCCCGCCTCTGCGCCCAAGGTCCCCTTAAGGCCGGCCCGGCCCGCGCCCAGACTCTCCTCTGCGGGGAGCAGCTTCCTTCCAGGATCGCGGGCCCGGGCTGCGTCCCCGTCAGGCCGCGTGCGCGATGGCGGGCACCGCGCTGAGGGTCGCGGGGCGGCAGCTTAGCCAGCACAGCGGGGCTGGAGCCCGCGTCCTCCTGCGGCAGGTGAGAGCTGGCGGGGCCGAGAGCGGGCTCCCGGGCCCTGCGCGGCTGCAGGGCCGGAAGACCTGCGTCCTTTAAGTCCGGAGAGATCTGGGAGCCCCCGGGCTGGAGGCCGGATTCTTGGGTTCTTCACAGAAGAGGGCGCTGGGGACTTACTAGACAGCGGGGACTCTTCGGTCCCGATGAAGGTGCTGGGGCCCCAGACTCCTGACTCCGGGGAAGGAAGTGCCTGGCGTTTCTGCCTCTGGCTCTTAGCGCGAGAGTCCAGCGGAGGCCGGGACTCCCGGGTCCCTGGTGAGTGGGTCTGGTTCTGCGCTCTCACCTGCCTCCCCCCTCCCCGCGCCCCCCCCCCCCAGATGTTTGAGCCCAAGAGCTGCACCTACACGTACCTCCTGGGGGACAGAGAGTCCCGAGAGGCCATTCTGATCGACCCGGTTCTGGAGACCGCGCCTCGGGACGCCCAGTTGGTCAAGGAGCTGGGGCTGCGGCTGCTGTACGCTGGTCAGTCTGGGCAGGACTCCTGGTGGAGGGAGGCGGACGTGGGGCTGGGAATCCCGCGTGCCCTCCCCCCACCCCCATGCCTTCCCCGCACCCCGTGCCCTCCTGGACCAGGCCTCCTCTCTCTCGCAGTGAACACCCACTGCCACGCCGACCACATTACAGGCTCGGGGCTGCTCCGGTCCCTACTCCCTGGCTGCCAGTCTGTCATCTCCCGCCTCAGTGGGGCCCAGGCGGACATACACATAGAGGATGGGCAGTCCATCCACTTCGGGCGCTTCGTGAGTTGGGTGTTGGGTCTTCCAGAGGGTGGTGGCCTGGACTGGACCTGGGCTCAAGGGACGAGGAGGCTGGGGGCCTGGGTTCCTCAGTCCTGGGGTAGGAGAGGCCTCAGGCCTGGGTTCCTGACCCCTGAACTTTTGGTGCCTAGGAGAAGGATGCTGTTAACCCAGGCTGCTCACTAGGGCAAGAGGCTCTGGGGAGGTGTGTTGCTGGCCAATCCCTCTAAGTAAACAGCACTTACGCAGTTTCCTACAGTTTTGGGGTGGCTCCTTTGGCCTGGCATCTCCATAAAAGTTGATTGGGGGCTGGAATGCCAAGACCAGGGCTGAGGGAGAGACCCAGCCCTGTCTTCTGAGAGCCACTGTTGGAGGAAGTAACATCCTGTTGCCCAGGGTCAAGACTGGGCTAGGCCCTGAGGCACCTAGGGTGCAGCATTTAAGGAGGTGCTCACTCTCCAGGCCAGCACCTTCCCGTGACCTTGCCTCCTTAAATGTTGCTACCTAGGCACTGTCTTGCCTCACCCTGGCCCCAGCCCCGCTATTGCCTCACACTGGAACGGTCTGAAGGTTCCTACCTGCCTTTCTGTTCTTTTGCCACAAGCATAATCAGCTGGTTTCTGGCCAGAATTTCAACCCAGGGCAATGCAGAGGGGTGGGCAGGACAGGACGCTGGGAGGAGGTGCCCTCAGAGAGAGAGGTGGCAGGGCTTTTTCTGATCAGAGTTGCTAAAGAGGTAGAGAGTTCGGCTGACATCAGGGCCATGATGTCAGGTGACAGGGTTTTGCTAAATGGAGATAGTCTGAGCCAGAGCATTTAGCTGAAATGAGGGCTGTGTGGGAGGGATCAGAGGGTTTCGCTCCAATGGTTACGGCCTCTTTATTTCAAGCCTTTTCTTCCAAAAGCAGAAAAACAACATGCATTGTGCATTTATGGAAACAGTACACAGTATTCAGGTGCTAACATGCATTTCTTGGGGGTCAGAAGCCTTAGGAGAGTTAGAAATGGTCAGATCCTGGGTCCAGCTGAGGTCATTGTGAAACTGAATGAGTGATGGTTCCGGCGAATGAGTGTTGAAGGGTTTAGCTGTGGTATATTTAGTTTCAGTGAAACAATTTGCTTTGTGAAACAATTTTATTGACTGAATTCATAAACCATCCAATGCACCCATTTAAAGGGTATAATTCAGTGACTTTAGTATATTTGCAGAGTTATGCAATCAATTAATTTTTTTTTTAAAGATTTTATTCATCCATTTTTAAGGGGGGCGAGAGAGAGAGAGAGAGAGAGACATCAGTGTGCTGTTGCTGGGAGTTATGGCCTGCAACCCAGGAATGTACCCTGGCTGGGAATCGAACCTGGGACACTTTAGTTCCCAGCCTGCGCTCAATCCACTGAGCTACACCAGCCAGGGCGCAATCAATTAATTTTTGAATATTTTCGTCACTCCAAGGGGAAACCCCACACCCCTTAGCTGTCTCCCCAGCCCCTCCTCCTTCTATCCCTACAGCCTCAGGCAGCCACTAATCTACCTTCTGGCCAGAGATTTGCCTCTTCTGGACATTTCATAAAAATGGACTCATACAGTATGTGGCCTTTTGTGTCTGGCTCCTGTCCCTGATCATAATGTTTTTGAGGATCACCCTTGTAGCATGTTATCAATGTGTGATTGCTTTTTATTGCTAAATAATACTCCATTATTTGAGTATACTACATTGGATTTATCTGTTCATTATTCGATAGACATTTGAGTTGTCTCCATTTTGTGGCTATTTGGGATAATGCTGCCGTGAATGTTCATGTTCAAGTTTTTGTGTGGACACATGTTTTCATTTTCCTGGGGTGCATACCTCAAATGGAATGGCTGGATCGTGTGGTGACTCTGTATTTAACAGTTTGAGGAAAGGCCAGGCTGCTATCCAAAGTGGCTGCACCATCTTTTGTTCCTGCCAGCAGGGGATGAGGGCTTCAGTTCATCCACATCCTTGCCAACACTGGTTACTATCTGTCCTTATGAATATTCAGAGTTTTGTTTGTTTTTTACCCAAGTTCTTTATAAACCATTGGAAACATTGTTTTTCTCCCCACACTTTTTACAATTGAATTGTAATGTACATGTAATATGGTACAAAGTGCACATATTGTACATATGCAGCTTGATAAACTTTTACACATTTACACTTGAGTAGCTACACCCAGATTCAGATAAAGAACATGCCCAGCACCCAGAAGGCTTCTTTGTCCCTCTTTCTGACCATTGACACCCTGCCAAAGAATCATTCTTCTGTCTTTTCTTTTTTTTCTTTTTTTTTAAAGGAGATTACAAGAGGGCATGAGAAGATGTTAATAGTAAGAGACATGGTCTTTTTTTTAAAAAGATTTTATTTATTTATTTTAAGAGAGGGAAGGGAGGGAGAGAGAGAGAGAGACAGAGAGAGAAACATCAATGTGTGGTTGCTGGGGGCCATGGCCTGCAACCCAGGCATGTACCCTGACTGGGAATCAAACCTGTGACACTTTGGTTCACAGCCCGTGCTCAATCCACTGAGCTACACCAGCCAGGGCTATGTCTTTTCTAAAATATTTTTTAAATTTTTATTTTTTAGAGAGGGGAAGGGAAGGAGAAAGAGAGGGGAGAAACATCAATGTGTGAGAGATATATTGATTGGTTGCCTCTTGCAGGCACCCAACTGGCAACCTGGCCTGCAACCCAGGCATGCGCCCTGACTGGGAATCAAACCAGCAACCCTTTGGTTCACAGGCCAATGTGCAATCCACTGAGCCACACCAGCCAGAGCTCTTCTGTCTTAATCTTAGATTAGTTCTGCCTGTTCTGTACCTTATATCCAGAAATCATACAGTGTGTACTCTTTCATGCCTGGCCTTTTTCACTGTACATGATGTTAGATATGGTTGTAATTCTTTCCTTTTGTTGCTATATAGCAGGGATTGACAAACTTTTTCTGTGAAGGACCAGATAGGAAATAACTTTAAAAAATATTTCATTTATTGCCATGGCTGGTGTGGCTCAGTGGATTGAGCTCTGGCCTGCAAACCAAAGGGTCACGGGTTTGATTCTCTTCCAGGACACATGCCTGGATTGCCACCAGGTCCCCAGTAGGGGGCATGTGAGAGGCAACTACACATTGATGTTACTCTCCCTCTCTTTGTCCCTTCTCCTCTCTCTAAAAATAAATAAAACCTTTAGCCCTGGCTGGTGTAGCTCAGTGGACTGAGCATGGGCCAATGAACCAAAGGGTCGCTGGTTTGATTACCTGTAAGAGCACATGCCTGGATTGTGAGTCAGGTACCCAGTAGAGGTTGTGTGAGAGGCAGCCCTTCTCTTCTCCTCTGTCTATAAAAATAAGTAAAATCTTTTTGTTTAAAGATTTTATTTATTTATTTTTAGAGAAGGGACGGGAGGGAGAAAGAGAGGGAGAGAAACATCAACTGGCTGCCCTTCACACATGCCCCAAACCTCTGACAGGGATCAGTCAGCAACCCAGGCATGTGCCCTGACCATGAATTGAACTTGGGACCTTTCGCTTTGCAGGACGACACCCAATCCAACACACGGGTCGGGGTGTTAGTAAATGTTTTTTGGTTTGCAGGTCATAGGGTCTCTGTTGTAACTACTCAATTGAGTGTGAAAGCAGCCAGAGAGGATACATAAATGAATAAGCATGGCTGTGTTCCAATACAACTTTATTTATGGCCACCGGAATGTTAATTTCAGTAATTTTCACGTGTCATGAAATAATCATTCTTACTTTGATTTCTTTTTCACCCATGAAAAAGTGTAAGAAGCATTCTTAGCTCTCAGGCCTTACAAGGGCAGGTGGCAGGCCCAATTTAGTATACCAGTCATAGCTTACCAACCCCGATGTAGAGCATCTTGTTCTGTGAATTTATCACAATCCATCCATTTGTCTTTTGCTGGCTGATTCCAGTTTTGGGCTATTACGAATAGCACTACTATGAAAATTCCTGTGAAAATCTCTTGGTCGAGATTACCCTCAATTCCAGGGAGTGGACTTGCTGGGTCACAGAACTGACGTATGTTTAACTATAGTAGAAACTGCCCGACAGTTTTTTGAATTTTATACTTATATATTTTATACTCAGAGTGGGCCAAATTTGGATGGTTTCATTGTGGCATGAATTTTCTGTTTTAATAAGCAGCCATAGAGACTTGAACATTTTATCACCCATGAGGAGATTTAGGAAGTTAGTTTTTCCTGTTAAATGTGTTGGTTGTTATACATGTTCCTTGAAGACCCTTCCTCTTTTTCCCCCGTCATCCTTCTCCTTTTTCACCCCTCCCCTCTGGTTACTGTCAGTTTGCTCTTTATTTTGAGAAGGGTGCTTCTCAAGACTCCAATTTCCCAGGCCCCATTTTCGAGATTCTGGTTTAATTGATCATCATATGCCCTACAAAAGGATTTCTGTACTTCCTCCTATTTCAAATTCAGTATTTCAATTGTGGGACAAATCTTTTATCCCTCAATATTTTTATTTATTTTATTTTATTTTTTAAAGATTTTATTACTTTTAGAGAGCGGGGAAGGGAAAGAGGGAGAGAAACATTAAAGTGTGTTTGCCTCTCAGTCGCCCCCTACTGGGGATCTGGTCTGCAACCCAGGCATGTGCCCTAACTGGTAATCTAACCAGTGACCCTTCGGTTTGAAGGCTCATGTTCAATCCACTGAGCTACACCAGCCAGGGCACCCCAATATTTTTTTAAAATTTTCAAGCATGCAAACAAGTTGAAAAAAATTTTACAGCATACACCTTGTATATCCATCCATCACTTCATCTTATTTTGTTTCCACAAAAGAAAGAAGGTTTGGCTGATGGAAGTTCAAAGTATTTTGCTACAGTGGAAAATTATATTTTGGGTTTTTGAGTTGAGAGGGAATAGAAAAAATGCATGGTAATACCAAGATTAAATACTTTGGAATAAGGGAGCAAAAAAACAAACAACCAACCACTTGGGGACAGAAAGGTAAAGAAACTAGGAGCTTACTTGCCACCAGGGGGCAGTGTGGGCCGTGGGAACTGCAAGGTGAGAGAGCTGCGGGCTTGCACTGATCCCTTTAGTCTGGCAGAAGTAAGATCATTAGGGTAATAATTTCTTTTCCGATATTTGCTTCTCTTAATTGAGTGTGGGGATTTAAATAATGATGAGCTCCCTGGGCTGGAATTTTTGTGTCCAGGTTTTGTGTGGTATTTTGGTTTTTTTGTTAGGGGAGGGGGAGGAGGGAGGGGAGAGAGAGAGAAACATTAGTCAGCCTCTCTCACACACCCTCGACCCGGGACTCAATTGCAACCCAGGCATACACCCCGGAAGGTATCCCTACCCTTTGCTGGACGTTGCCCAACCACCTGAGCCATACCGGTCAGGGCATGTCCAGGATTCTTAATGGCAGTCTTAGAAGTGGCTTTGGAGATCAGAAAGTGGTCGTTTGAGATGACAGACCCTGCTGGATTGCCCTCTAACATGGCTGTATGAGTCGTATCCACATCCCAGGAAATGTAAGGCCTTTCCTCAGACACCCTGAGTGACTGACAGTTGCCAATCTGGTGGGTAGATAATAAAGATTTTTAAATTTAACTCTCACCGTTTCCTCCTTCCCTTTAAGGGAGGTTGAACATCTTTTCAGATTTTTTTTGGCCATTTGTTTTCTCTCCCATGAAATACCTGTTTTGTTTTGTTTTTCTTTTGCCCGTTTTCTTTTGTGGGTTCTTCGGAGCTTTTTTTTAAAAAAGATTTTATTTATTTATTTTTAGACAGAGGGGAAGGGAGGGAGCAAGAGAGGGAGAGAAACATCAGTGTGTGGTTGCCTCTTGTACACCCCCTACTGGGGACCTGGCCCACAACCCAGGCATGTGCCCTGACTGGGAGTTGAACCAGTGATCCTTTGGTTCACAGGCTGATGCTCAATCCACTGAGCCACACCAGCCAGGAGGAGTTGTTTATATATTATGGCTGTTCACACTTTATAATAGTTACTTATACATGCTGCTAATTAATACTGTCTCTGAGGTTTTTTCTGTCTTTTAACTCTGATTTTGTACTTTTCTATAATGAAGTTAAACTATGTGCCCACAGTTGTCACTGTTTTCCCTTATAGCCTTTGAATTTTCTATTATTCTTAGGAAAAGCTTTTCTACCTCAAGGTTTTTAATAATTTTATTTATTTATTTATTTATTATTGATTTGACAGAGAGAGAGAGACAGACAGAAACACTGATTTGTTGTTCCACTTATTTATGATTCTTGTATATGCCTTGATAGGGATCAAACCCACAACCTTGGTGTGTCAGGATGCTGCTCTGACCAACTGAGCCACCTGGCCAGGGCCCTTTTCTACCTCAAGATATAGTTCCCTCGATATTTATATCTAGAATTTTAATACTTTTTATGTTTAGATCGGTAGTGTATCCTGAATTTTGTGTTTTATTTCTAATTATAAAGTTACATGTTCATTGTATCTTTTAAAAAGGGATGATACAGGAAAAATTTAAACAAAATATATATTTTGCCCTGGCTGGTCTGGCTTAGTGGATTGAGCAACAGCCTGTGAACCGGAGGGTCACCAGTTCAACTCCCAGGCAGGGCACATGCCTGGGTTGTGGTCCAGGTCCCCAGTAGCAGGTGCGTGAGAGGAAACCACACATTCCTGTGTTTCTCTCCCTCCCTTCCTCTCTCTCTAAAAATAAATAAAATCTTTTAAAAAATAAAAATAAATAAAAAAGAACAGAATATGTATTTAGAGTTAATGAATACATTTTATAAAGGGTGACATTGTGCAGGTGGCTTTGTAACTTGCTTTTTTGCACTTACTGGATATTAAACATATTTTCGTGTTATTAAGTATTTGTATATCATCATTAAATTTTATTTTAATGATAATTTTTAAGGACTACTTAGTATTTAATGATAATTTTTAAGGACTACTTAGTATTTTATAGTTATATTAGTATGCTCATGTTTTTCTTATTGATTTACAGGATCTGTTTGCTTAGGAAGTATGCAAACCACCATGTGGTACATACCACATTTTTTGGACTATAAGACACAACCCCCCATTCCCCAAATTTGGGAGGAATAATGGTTGTTAATGCTGCTGTTGAGTTCTGTTTACATTTACATTGGTGGAATATTATGTTATTTATGTTATTAAATATTTTACCAAATTTTTTGCTTCAAAATTTTTTTTCCTATTTTCTTCCTCCAAAACCTAGGTGCATCTTGCGGTTCAAAAAGTACAGTGTGTTATAAATATACGGGATCCCCAGCTTGCTTGCTTCCTTTGAGTTTTGTTTGTGATGTTTTTGTCATTGCAAAACTTTAAGTTGACTTAAAGTCAAACCTTCGATCTTTTCCTTAACAATTTTACGACATTAGGGATCACATTGGAATGTTGTTCCCTAACCAGAGGTTGTATATTCATTTGCACATTTGTTGCTGTCACAGTTTTATGCTTTTATATTCTTGCCTTTATTTCACTTGGAGTTTATGCTGAGGTCTGAGCCTGGAAATCTAACTTAGGTTTTACAAAATAGGTTATCTGTTGATAGATGTGACCCGGGGATAGTTTCACTAGGAGGGCAGAGCCATTGGCTTCCTGCTGACCGTCTGTACTTTCCCTCCCTGCCAGGCCTTGGAGACCCGGGCCAGCCCTGGCCACACCCCGGGCTGTGTCACCTTCGTCCTGAGCGATCACAGCATGGCCTTCACTGGAGACGCCCTGCTTATCCGAGGGTGTGGAAGAACGGACTTCCAGCAAGGTCACAGGCCCTGTCCTGCAGCCCGAGACCTTAGTATAGTTATGAGTGTGCCAGGGTTTTAAGTCTCAGCTGCAAGAATGAATGAATGAATAAGTGTTAAGCTTTTAGGGGGTCAGGATTAAACTCAAGGTGTTTAGCTGTGGAGTGGGGGTGGAGTTCGATTCAGAGGGTGGCTGATCAGAGAACAGTTAGATTGAGGGGTTTAGTTGTTAGGGGACAGTTAGGTTCAGGGGGTAGTTCATTATCTATTTTCATTATCTATTGCTGTGAAAAACAATTACCCCAGAACTGAGTGGCTTAAAACAGTGATTAGCATTTATTATCTTACATGGTTTCTGAGAGCTCGGACTCCGGGAGCAGCTTAGCTGGGTGGTGGTTTTGGCTCAAGGTCTCTCATGAGGTTGCAGTCCAGCTGTGTGGGTGGGCTGCACTCACCTGAAGGCTTGCCTGGGGCTGGAGGCTCCGCTCCCACGGAGGCTCCCCTCCCACGGAGGCTCCCCCGCATGGCTGGCAAGCTGGCCCCGGCTGTAGGCAGGAGGTCTCAGCTCCCCTCTGTGGAGCTATTTAAGGGTTGTCACAACCCACCATCTGTATTCTCCCAAAGGGAATGAGCAGAGAGAGAGAGAGAGCAGGAGACAGGAGCCCTAAGTTTTTTAAAAAAGATTCTATTTATTTACTTTTAGAGAGAGGGAGGGGAGGGAGAAAGAGAGAGAGAAACATCTGTATGTGAGAGATACATCCATCTGGTTGCCTCTCACATGCCCCCGACTGGGGACCTGGTCCACAACCCAAGCATGTGCCCTGACTGGGAATCAAACCAGCAACCCTTTGGTTCACAGGCTGGTGCTCAATCCACTGAGCCCCACCAGCCAGGGCAGGGGCCCTAATTTTTCTTTCTCTCTCTCTCTTTTTTAAAGATTTTATTTATTTATTTTTAGAGAGAGGGGAAGGGAGGGAGAAAGAGAGGGAAACATCAGTGTGTGGCTGGCTCTTGAGCACCCCCTCCTGGGAATCTGGCCCACATCCCAGGCATGTGCCCTGACTGGGAATCCAACCAGCAGCCCTCTGGTTTACAGGCCGGATTCTCAATCCACTGAGCCACACCAGCCAGGGCCCTAATTTTTCTTAATGACCTAATTTCCTAAATTAAACTCTGTTTTTTTCTGCAATATCTTATTTATTAAATACATGTCCCTCAATCCAGACCACTAAGTCAAAGGTGAAGGGAATTAATGTTAAATTTTGAAGAATGTTAAAGAGTTTGTGGCCATGTTTTAAAACTCCATGAGAGGTTTAGCTGCTGGAGTTGTGGCGGGGGTGGGGCTGGTGGAGTTCAGCTCTGGAGTTCACTGCTAGCAGGTTGTCCGAGTCGGAGTGATTGCTAGGGGTCGGTGTTATGTTCCAGGTTTAGCCACTGGAGGCGCTCAGATTCAGGGATTTCTCTGTGAGAGGGGAGTTTCAGAATCTCAGGGTTTGGCTGTCCTTTGAGTGTGTGAGAGAGAGAGAGGGAGAGAGAATTCGGGATTGGCAGCGGGTTGCGGGGATTTAGCTGCCTTGAGAGAGGAGGGTGAGGCTGGATGAGAGGGGCAGACAGCCACGCTGACCTGGCAGCGGGTAACCAGATCCCCCGGGCGCCTCTTGCTTCCTCTTCCCTCTCTCCTTATCTCTCCATCTCAGTCTCTGTCCTTTTCTCTCCGAGGCTCCTATGCACTCCCAAAGCAGTCATGAAATGGGAGGGTTCAGGACGCAGGGCTCTTGTTGGAACCGTGCCACCGTTCTCCTCCTTGGCCTCATGCCTTCAGTTTCTTACCTTCTAGTCCACCGCCCCTGCCCAGACCCTTTCTGGGCATCTGCAGAGTGAGGGCCAGTTCCTCAGTGCCCCGTGTCTCGTCTCAACCTCATGTACAGCTGTGCCAAGTGTTTCACCACTCCCCGCTTCTCTGTACGTGCTGTCCACCTGCCTAGAATACCCTTTCCTCTCCTTCTCTACCTAGATAAAGAGGTATTGGCAGGAAATGAGGGAGAGGGTTCTGCTACCTCCACCCTTTTCTTGAGGGAAGGGGTTAAGGGGCCTCTCTTGTCCTCTTGATCCACTGACCTCTGAGCTTTCCCTCCCCAGGCTGTGCTAAGACCTTATACCACTCGGTCCACGAAAAGATCTTCACACTTCCAGGAGACTGTCTGATCTACCCTGCTCATGATTACCATGGTGAGGGCTTCCTGGAGGAGGTGTGGGACCTACGTAATTTACTACTATTTGACAGGTTGCACCAACGTACTGTAATCCTTATGGGGCATGGGACTACAATTCCTAGAAATTCCTCTGGCCCAAATGATCGAGTGCTTATGTGTACTGAGTGTGAATGTGGAAACCATGACTCTGGAATTCCAGAGGGCCTGGGTTTTCCTAGGACCTCTTAATAGAGCTTAGGGAACTGAGAAACTACATTTCCCATACTGCCTGTTGAGGAGGGAAAGCAATTTCAGGAACTTTCTGAGAAAAGCCTATTAGTCCCAGGCCAGAGAGGCACCCCAAAGCCGTCTGGGAAGTGTAGTCCTGAGAGGCCCAAGACACTGAACAGGTGGACAATCCTCCCCCTCCCTTGGCCCTTAGGGCTGACGGTGTCCACTGTGGAGGAGGAGCGGACTTTGAACCCTCGGCTCACCCTCAGCTGTGAGGAGTTCATCAAGGTCATGGACAACCTGAACTTGCCCAAGCCTAAGCAGATAGGTGAGTATTTGGGGGCCTGGACTCCTGGTCTGAGGGTGTAGGGGTTGGGGGCCCAGACTCCTGGTGTGTGGGGTGGGGGTGTGACCCTGGACTCCTGGGTGTGAGGGAAGAGAGGGCTCAGGGACAGAACTCCTTTCCTAAAGAAGAGGGCCCTTAGGATTGCTGGGTGCCATTTAAGCCTGCTGGGGCCCCTCAGCTTCAGCCGTGGTTTCTTCTTTCAGACTTTGCTGTTCCAGCTAACCTGTGCTGTGGGATCCAGACCCCCCCTTCCTGACGTCATCTCCGTCAGATGCTCGTGTCCATTAAAAATGCAGTAGGGGTGGGGAGGGAAGAGGTGCCATCACTGGAGCCTCTCTCCTCTTCCCCTCCCCTAGCAGTCTTCAAGCCTCTCAAATAAAATTTTTTTGTTCTGAATCTGACTTATGTCTGTTTTCTGGGGGAACCCATTGGGCTTTTGGGCTGAGGTGCCTGGGGTTTGTCCTGGTGTCTGGAGAGGCCAGACAGCAGGACAGAGAGAAGGTCCAGAGAGCCTAAAGGAGGAGATGTTCTAACTCACATGAGCAGAAGCAAACAGGTGTCTGGGGCAGGGCTTCTTGGCCCTGTGGATGAGAACCTCATGTTGAGTTTGAGTCATTTCCTCCTGAGAGACCCAGGATAAGGTACTTCTGTTCTCCAGGCCTCTTCTGTAAAGTGAAAATAGTAATGTATTCTGATGATCCAGTGAGTTCATATGTGTGAGGTGCTTGGCACACTACCTGCCCGGCAGGATTCCTATCGTGTTAACCACTATTTCTTTGTTTAAAAGGAAGATTAAGGCTTGCTGGTGTGGCTCAGTGGATTGAGTGCCAGCCTGTGAACCGAAGGGTTGCGGATTTGATTCCCAGTCAGGACACATGCCTGGGTTGCTGTCCAGGACCCCAGTGGGGGCACTTGAGAGGCAACCACACATTGATCTTTCTCCCCCTCTCTTTCTCCCTCCCTTCCCCTCTCTAAAAATAACCAAAACATTGAAAAAAATAAGGGCAGATTAAATTTTTTTTTAATTGAAAAAGTGAAATGTAAGCCCTGGCTGGCGTGGCTCAGTGGATTGAGCGTGGGCTGAGAACCAAAGTGTCCCAGGTTCGATTCCCAGCCAGGGTACATGCCTGGGTTGCAGGCCATAACCCCCAGCAACCGCACATTGATGTTTCTCTCTCTATCTCCCTCCCTTCCCTCTCTAAAAATAAATAAATAATCTTTAAAAAAAGAAAAGAAAAAGTGAAATGTTAGCATTGTCAGGTACGGATACAGGAGCCATAATGAGAAGCTAACATCTGTAATTCGAGCACTCATTTAAGATGCCCAGGAAATCTGATCTAGGAGATGGACACAGACCGACCCTTGTGTTCAGAGTGACAAGCAGTAGAGGGTTCCTCGGCAATGGAGAGGTGATAGTCCCTGATAAACTATGGATGAAAAGAAGAGGATTTCTTACCATTTGAAATTGAGCTGCTGTCAGGTTTTCAACAGAAGTGATAGAACTTTTTCGAGCACAATGGATGATAGCAGCCATATTAGGGCCTACCCCAGCTGTTCTCACTGATATGTCCCAGACCTCCAGGGTCCCAAGGGTAGCCACACCCTAAGCCTCCATAGCCACAGCATCTACCACCGTGGCCTCCACAGCAGTTTCCATAATAGCTGCAGTATAGCCTTGGGAGGTGAGGATGAGCGTTAGCTATTATTGTCACTATCAATTGGAACAATCTTCCAGGCATTTCCTGGCTTGGAGTGACAGTCAGTGTAATGGTTAAGAGCACACTTTCCAGAGAACATATCTGGTGCTGACGTTAACAACATGTATAGATTTTGGGCACACTTGTCCCCTCCCTCTCTGCCTCAGTGTCCCCAGCTATGAAGTGGAGATAAACATCTCTTGTTAGGCTGCTAGGAGCATAGAATTACATTAACGTGTATCAACTTACAGCACAGCTCCTGACATCCAATAATACTTTCTCACACCAGTTATTTTCCTGTTTTTACCTAGAGAGGAAAGGGTCTGGCTGACATCTTTAACCTCTCTGGTCCACCCCATAGCAAAGTGGGGGGGGGCACACTTCTCTCTGTCTCTGGGCGGGTTTCTGACTCAGCTCAGGGCACCTTGTCCCCTTGTCCAGCTCCCCAAACCGGTCTGGGCTCTTGTAAAGGACTCATTAGAAGGGAGAGGCCCCTGTCTGCATTCCCTTCTTTCTTTCAGCATTCCTTCTTTCTTTCAGCATTCCTTCTTTCTTTCAGCATTCCCAGGGTCTGGCATTAGGGAGGCATTTGCACATACGAGACCAAGACACCTGGCCCTCCAAGGGATAGTAGTGGGGGTACTAGAGGCAGAGTGGGGGGTTGCGATGCTGGGTTTTCTGAGGGTGGGACCGGTGGGGCCGGGATGCCCGGATGCCAGGTCGCGGGCGGGGCAGGCAGGTCGCTGCCTCCTCCCTCGGGAGCTGTTGGACCTGTTGTGCCCCCCCTCCACTTCCGGGCTGCTGTGGAGAGGGTGCCGAGCAGCCTCTCTCCTCCCTCTTCCCCAGGCACCTGTTTCAGAGACTGAAACGACAGCGCCCAGAGTGCAGAGCGAGAGCGCCGAATCCTGAGCGGGTGAGAGGGCCGGGGCTGCGGGGCAGCAGGGGGCTGAGACTTGGCCTCCAAGGTCCCGGGGGTGGAGGAGGCTAGAGTTTGGGAATTTAGCTCCCTGGAGGAGCTGAGGACTCAAGACTCCTGGTTTGTCTGGAGAGAGGGAGACTAGAAGCCCCGACTCCTGGGTTCCTGGGCGAGGTGGAATGGGTGTCGCTCCTTTGAGGTCAGAGCCAAGTCTACCAGGCTCCGGAGTGCAGGGGACAGGAGCCCAGACTGTTGAGCCCCCGAGGGAGGAGACCCGGGGTCGCTGTAAGGTGGTCCAGGGATTGCGGGGGGCTGCCGGGAGGGTAACAAGGTGCCACATCTGGATAGAAGGGAGAAGCCAATAGGGGGAGCGCTAGGACCCAAGACTCTAAATCCGGTCCCACCTCCGGGGGCGGGGCTAGAGCTATCGAATCCCGCCCCTGAAAACTCCGGGCCACGGTCCTGGAGTGCTCAGTCCCTTCCTTTGAACTCCTAGGCCTCGCCCCCTTGGAAGAGCATTGCCAAGCGCTCAGGCCTCCTGGGCCACGCCCCCACGCTGTCAGTCCACGCCCCCAGACTCCGGGCCCCGCCCACCCCGCCGTAGTGAGCCACCGCCATGGGGACTCCCAGCAGCCCGGACGAGGGGACTCCGCCACCACAGGTCCCAGAGTGCGATGAGGCGGTTCAGCCCAAAGGAGCCGCCCAGCCCCGGGAGCACCCCGAGGGCTCCCGCGAGCAGGAGGCTCCCGAGGTCCCGGAGGAGCTTCCTAGCAGCGGAGGAGCTGAGCAGCAGGCGGAAGAAGAGGAAGAAGTGGCCGAAGGCAGCAGCACCGAGAGCAGCCGCGACGCGGTGAGGGACAAGGAGGGCAGGAGCCCCGGGGGTCGGGGTGGCCCAGGGCAGGTGACAGGGACAGCGATAGGCAGGTATGGAGAGAGACCAGATAGACAGAAGTTCGGAGACAAGGAGAGAGCCCCAGAGATACGGAAACTCCGGAGAGACAAAGACACCGACCCGGGGCCAGAGAGACCCAGACCGAGTGAAAGACAGAGGCACCTAGAGACCGGCGTAGAGAGACCAGATGGACAGAGACCCAGACACAGGGAGACTGAGAGACAGGGACCTCAAAGAGCCCCGGCCTGTGAGGCTCAGCTGGTTGGGCCTTTGTCTGGTAAACCCAGAGGTCGCAGGTTCAATTCCCTGTTAGGGCACATGCCCGGGTTGCAGGTTTGGTTCCCTGTGGGGCACGAGCGAAAGGCAGCCTATTGATGGTTCTTTCTCACACTGATGTTTCTCTGTCTCTCTCCCTTCCCTCTCTCTAAGTGTGTCCTCGGATGAGGATTAAATAAATAAATAAAACTAAAAGAAAAGACCCCAAAGAGACAGAGGCGCAGGAAGAGAGACTCAAAGAGATGGTATAGAGACAGAAACCCCAAACAGGGCAGAGATGCTCAGAGAGACAGAAACAGAGACAGAGAAACCTTAAGAGAGGGAGATACTCCGAGGGAGAGGAAGGGACGTAGTGACAACTTAGAGACAGAAGACAAATACTGAGTGGGGAGACGAAGCCCAGAGAAACAGGGTGAGAGACTTGAGAGACCTGTGGGGAGAGAGAGACCTGGGGCCTACGACGACTTGACGCCCGGAAAATAGGACCCAGTTGGAGAAAAAGAAACACCTCCCTTGAGTTGGCTCCCGAAATGCGAGCCCCCGGGGCCGGGTGGTCACTGGGCTTGCACCCTCTCTTGTATAAAAGCGTGGTGGTTGAGTTCTGGCCAGTTAAGACCCCCTGAAGAAGCTTGAGGCAGGGAACAGATGGATTTAGTGACTGCCGGGGGGGGGGGCGAGGACTCTCCACACCCTCTGACCGCACCCTCTTTTATCCTAGGGGGAGGCCCTGCCTTCCGTCCAGGCCCGGGCCATGCCCCCCACGCCCACCCAGTCTAAGGAAGAGGCGCGAGGGGTGGCGCTGCGGCTTCGAGAGCAGCAGCTGGAGGTTCTGACTCGAGTGGCCCTGATGGAGCAGCGAGTGAAGGAGCTCCAGCGCCAGAGGAAGGAGCTGAGGATCGAGGTGAGGCTGCGGCAGACGTTGTGCGAAGTCTCCCTGTCCTTTCCTCCATGGCATGCCATTCTAGGCCTCCAGCACCCTCCTTCCCTAGATCTCTGAGCCCCAGCCTTTGCGTTCTCTCCGCAGATGGAGGTCGAGGTGGCCCTGCTGCGGGGTGAGCTGGCTGGGGAGCGAGTGGCTGCTCGGCGGGAGGAGGAGCAACTCCGGGAGCTGCTTGAGCAGCAGGTGGACACAGAGCAGGGCAGCCGGGAGCAACGGGAACAGAGGGAACAGGTCTGTTGGTCCGGCTGAGTCTTCATCATCAGTTTTGTTCCTTGTCGGAGGGGTATTCCTGGTGGGGTTCTCGGGAGGCGGCCCCCAGGACTGGGTCTACCCCTGTTCCCCAAGTGGGGACACTTGGGATGGGAGGCAGTGATGGACAGATGCTTTTCCTTATCTTCCTCCTGCCTCCCTGACCATGATTTTGGGGCCTGACCCACTGGGGCCTTCTTTTGCCCCCTCTCTCTGCTCTTTTACTGTCACTGTGAAAAACGTCAAGCCAGTAGCAACAGGAGAGTCAGATGGCCTCCATGCGGTGCACTCGCTCCCGCTTGCTAGCTTCAGTAGAGATCAACTCCCATGCCTGTTTCGTAGCCCGTAGTCTGCTTCCCTATTCCTGGTTTTGGAAGCCTATCCCAGATATCACATTACTTTTAAATAAGAACTCCTTTTTAAATT